CAAAAAAAATTTTTAATAGTACAAATAAGATTAAAGTATCCTTTAACCATCATCCTCTAATCTACTAGTAACCACCATTATTAGTAGGAAGTATATATTTCTAGTTTTTCTATGCAGTTATGCATTTGCCACTAACATATTTTATGTTGCTGTTTTCTATATTTTAAATGAAATGAACATGTTCTGCAACTTGCTCTACTCAATTTCCTGCTAATCTCTTTATGTCAGTAAAGACATTTAGTGAGTACTTCATAATAAGTATCAGTCATATTCTAAGTACTTTGATACATATCAATGCATTTAATCTTCATAACACTGCAGTTATTATGTTATGTTATTATCACGCCCCTTTGCACTTGAGGATCCTGAGGGACAGAGAGGTTGTATAAATTGCCCAATTTGGTGGCAGAGCCACTTGTTCTAGATTCTATTCCAGGCAGGAATGACTCCTGAATAACTTCCAGGCAGATTCTAACTCCAGGTCTTCTCCTAGGGTCACTATTTTACACTGCTTCTCGGTGATACATAAACCCACCTCCTGAATGCAGCTTGTATCAGCCCAAACCCCAGTGGGCCCATCTTTTATGAACTTGCAGTGACTGTGAATGATATGCAGATGCTGTTTAAGTTTTAAAATGCCACTGAGTGCCTCATTATGCTCAGCATTTCAGTTGATAATAGCAGGAGCGAGGCCCTGTGGTGGGGCGAGGCGGGACTGCTCTGGAGGGGATTCAAGATTGCGCACCTAACAATGCCAGCGGACCCTATTGTTATGCTGCGCCATTCCCCCAGTTCCCTTGCCGCCTGTGTCTGATCCGTGGGCAGCATTCCATTTACGTCAAAAATAACGTCAATCTAGCGGGGGGGAAAAAAAAACTGAATGACTCACAGCATTACTGTAGGGAACTGGTCTCTGTGTAATATGATATATAACATCCTAATTTCATAGAGCATTTTTCATAACAGCTGCTAAAATCATAATCAAATCCATTAAATTCTTTGAAGGGTTCAATTTGAAGCAATATTGAAAATAATCTTAAAATGCAAGTAGAGTGAGGTGGCGTCCCACCAACTCAGAACCACTCTATCATTAGCTGCTTCATATCTTCTCTGTATTTATGTCTATATTTATTGATCCATTGGAGTCTGCTGCTCTTTGATATTCCTAGCTGCATTTGAATCAGAGGTAGGATATTTCGGAGACTGGGGTCTGAAAGAAAGAATAGATAAGAAAGCAGAGAAGGAGAAGAAAATTTTCTTCTGACCCGTATGAACAACAAAACAAGATATAGTGGAAAAAAGAGGGAAGAGAAGAACTGAGATCTTGGGTTTATGAAAGCAGCAGTGTATTATTGATTAGGAGCTCTGTAGGGGATGAATGGTGGTGAGAGAACATGGCCACCTAAGCCTTTACATTTAGCAGCACATAACTTAGAAACATTGAGCCAGTTAGATTTCTCCTGCCACATTGCCATCCACCAAACAGACAGCTAATTTTTTTTTTTTTTTGGTAAGAATTTTATTCCTTGGATATACAGAAAGCCAAATAAAATCCCTCACTGTTGGTTTGTTTTTTCCCTGTGGCTGTGTAGTTCTGCGAGTTTGCAAAGTTAGCCCTTGACATGGATTTTTGTTTGGAACATAAAGTAAGACTAAAAAGAGGATTCAAAGAAGGCAGAAGACTGAAAAGTTTACTTGCAGACTTGACAGTGACTTTGCAGAAGGAGCATAGACTTCTGAGGCCTGAGATTTATTCAGTCTCTGCCACAGATTAATTGTGCGGTGTAAGTTTGTACACAAATTCGCAGCCTTCTTTAAGCCTCAGTTTTCTTATATAAGACAGAAGGTTGGACCAGAATCCCAAGGTTGTTTGGAATTGCAATATTCTGATTCTTATATTACGTGTTGGAAAAAGATAGCATATAGCGACCAATCACTCTTCTAGTCACCCAGCAGCAAAAGTCCTGTACACATTTTGCTTTTATCTACACACATGTCCTCTAATACTTGTAAGGGGGGTGTTAGGTGCAGTGTAGGTGCTTTGGTAGGTGCTGCTTGTAAACAGCATTCCTTCCAGCTTCCTTCTAGCGTAACTGCTGAAGCGAAAGTTCTCAGCGGCTCCATTCCATTTTTCTGCTTCGCTGCTTTAAAAACATTTTTTTTTTCCAGGATGGAACATAAATTACTGGTTTGTAATCCATGAATCACTGCTATAAAGTAGCACTGAAATCTTTGCTTTCAGACCCTGAAAAATTGTTAATTACATGGGATATGTTGTTGACCACTTGGGTAATGGATTTTAGGCACTGCTTTTTAGATTTTCGCTAACTGCACCGCTAATTGCGCACCCAAGTGTTTTGCACCTACTCAGCTAATGCTAAGGCAGATATGCCAGATTGCCATTTTTGGATTGTCTGACACCAGTACCAGGCAAATTACTGAATAGTAATGGAGCCAGAAGCCCCGGAATAAATTCTCTGCACTATTAAACTCTGCTAATAAGTTGTTCTCATCCCCTCTCACTTTATTTGTTCAGTACCCAGTGATGGGGTAGCTACTGCAATCCTGGATGTTGGGTGCTAGGCTGCGTCCTCAGAGCCAGCATTCTATTGCAAAGGGAACCATGCTTACAAAAGCAAAATGAGCCTCCTTGGGTCTTTTTATCACTGAGTAACCAAAGCTGTTGTTAAACCAACAAAATAAGAAATCATCTGAGAAGTAAATTGTTCTATAGCTTTCAACATGCTTCTTCTTTTTTTTTCATATTCTCTAACATATAAATAGACAATTAACAATAATATTTTATATGTAGCCTATTGGTGAAATGAATTTCCTAGACTAACCACATTATTATATGATTATATAACCTAAAACACTGAACTCTTATAGCACTAAAATCTTACGATAGTAACTTTTTCAACACTAGCTAAATCAGGGTGGGAGTCAAAGCACTGGAATAATTATGGTAGCTCATCAACTAGCTGTGTAGATGAGGGCATGCTCCTTAAGTTCTCTGAGCTTCGGGAGAGGAAAAAACATACTTGATTAGCGTCTCATGGGGCTGTTGTGAGGAACAAATGAGATGGAGTATGTGACATGCTTTGTATTATAAGCATACAATCTAAATATGAGCCAGATAGGGTATAAAACGTGCATGTACTACAGTATTTCTAATTATATTATTGCTTTCATCTATGTGGTGTTCCACATTTTATGTGTAAACAAGAGCTTGTAAGATTGATTTTCTCCTAATTATCACAACTAATGAACTCTTAATGGGCAGCTACAAATATAGATTTTATCGGAAGGAGGAAATTAAAGAGATCAAGGAGATTATTTTTTTCTCTACTGACATGTAAAAAGTAAATAGACTACTAATTAGAAAATGTTTAGTTGTTCATTTTATATGTACCTGATTGGTCCGAATTTTATGAGTATTCATTCTTCATTCAAGTATAGGAAATGAAAAGTCAAAACCTCCTGTAAATTTGTCATTCAATGGATGGCAAAAATATGTTGAATTTTATTTGTTAGAACCATATGACAAGTGCTAGATTTCATAAGTCAAAGAGGCATAACCTGAGGTGCTTTCTTGCTTTGATTTTGTAATATAGCATATTTGGAGCACGTCTTTAGAATAATGCTGTAGAAAGGAATTACCTGGTCTAATAATAATGTAAGAAATTGTTTTATTCTATTAATGCCAGTACTTACTAATTTTCTGTAGCTCAGTTATTTGCTTTATTTTTAGTAATTTAAATCCAGAAACACTTAATTATTAATTCCTTAAACATGACTTCATTTAATGACTACCACCCTGAAAAGATAAAATAGGATTGATGATCAAACTACTTTATTTCTAAGGAGTGATTACATATGCAAATGTAAGGAGTAGTAGCACTCTAAATAAATTCAACTAGAGAGTACTTTCCCTCAACCATTATGTAGGTATATTCATGAATAACCTTTTCTTCCCCTTTAGAATGTTAACTTTTGGGTCCTAACTTAAAATCTGGGTAGCAAATTGGACTCTCCTTTTATTAGTTATTAGTTTATTAGTATCCTTTATTAATTCATTTTCTTTGTGTTCCACTTTATTCTTTTTTTTTTTTTCCTTGATTCTCTTTTTCTTCTTGGAGTCATTTTGTTTAAAGATTTAAACATTTTCCTCTGGAAAATCAGTGTGGTTTCTGGTGGGGAGAGAAGGTATTTTGAAAAACAAATGAGACAGAGGCACATACAAATAACTTGGAATACAAACCTAGCAGTTAATTACTAGAAATGAAAAGGAAATGTTTATCCTACTCCATCCATAATACTAGTATATTAAGTACTTAACAGTTGTTTAACTGTTTGCTTGTTCATTTGTGTAGCCAGACTTTATTTTATTTCCTGTTTGCTGGTGGAGTGAATTCCTCACTGGTATTTCTACAGGGTTCAAAGAGGAATAGCTAGATTTTTCAGAAGCTATTTGGAGTAGAAAAAATATATATTGAGACCAAAATGGTATAGTATTTAAAGCCTATTAATAAATTTTGCTATAGAAAATGTATGCTGATTGTCACCTTCTTTTGCCTATACCTGACATGACAATCTGGCTTTTGCAGGGTTTTTTTTTGTCCAGGGTTTCTGAGAGCTCTCAATTTTGACAAATCTTCCCCTACAGCTTTGGTCACCATATACCCCAACTACACACACCCAAACAAATACAAATCAGTGCTTTTATAATTATGTTGCAGGAAGGTTTTATGCTCTTTGGATGTTAGATTTTTGTTGTTAGCTAGGTCATCTTTAGTGTTGGTTTCTTCCTTTAGGCTGTGTACACTTCTCAGTCATACTGAACTCTCTGTTAGTGTGGACTATTAGACAGGCTGCCATGGTGGTCACCTGTTCCTGGTGTTACTGATATAACCTTGAGATTTTATCAGTGCCTGTGGTCTCTTTGTCAATCCTCTCTAGAGGTTTCTCTCACTGATTATTTTGCAATATTCTTTTGTTAGACTTCAGTGCAGCAGTCCCAGAAACTGAGCTCCTGGATTCAAAAGCGCTTAAAACCCGAGCCCAGCACTCCGGGAAGAAGAGACGCCAGAAGTCCAACAGATCCTCCAGACTCTATGATAGCATCAGTTCCACCGATGGGGAGGAGAGTGCAGAGCGCAAGGTGAGCACTCTTGGCTGTTTTCTGACTCGTGGTGTTGGGCTGTATCATTGTTCCTACAGCTTATTGAAGATGATTGTTCTGCAGCCAGCATCTGTGCCCTAGTTGGAAACAGCTGGAATAGTCCACGTCTTTGTCTCCTGAATTCTTTATATTGTTGTAATTCAAAATCTTTTCTCTACTTATTCAATGAATTAACCAAGAGCATTATCCATACTGTCATATTTTATTTTGACATTTGGCTATAGGTTTTACTTAGTGGGAAATAATGAATGTGCAAGTAATTGTTTCTGTAGGTCTCAGGCATCTGTGTTAGTAATGACGACAGTGTTAATATGGCGAGTTGCTGTGAACTATGCATTTTCATTGGTAAACCAAAAAACAAAAACTGGTTTTCTTGGGGGACACACTAAAAAAAAAAAAAAAAGGTCAGTGTTATTTCAAAGTAAGTATTGTGTAGAACTGATACTCAATGGCATAACCTCCTTTATAATCTCTTATACCAACAGCCTTCAAACAGTTTCTATAACCACATGCATATTACCAAATCACTTCTACCCAAGGGTTTGAGAACTTCTTCTTCCGACTCAGATTCTGGTGTTCCACCCCTCACCCCAGTGGCTAGCAATGTGCCCTTCTCGTCTGATCACATTGCTGAGTGTCAAGAAGGACCACTGTACCCAGAAAGGGAGACTTTCTCCTCTCTTTCTGGGGACACTTCATACTTTTCTCCTTCAAAGTCTGATCATGATACAGAAGAATCTCCTTGCCACCATCAAGCCACCAACACGAAAATACTACAAGAAAAAGGTATTGTTAATTTCTTTGTTGTTTTGGTTTTGCTTTGTCTGACTTTGCTAACACCTCAATTTGTGTGATGTAAAAATGGCTTTTTCTCATAATCATAAGTCCTTTGTCTTCTCACAGCTAATCCTCTTATATTATGGAATAAGCAAAACAACCCCTCCATGTATTTTATTTTATTTTATTTTTATTCTTTGCTACCTGGTTTTGTATTTTTATCTCTTTAGCTCTCCACAAGCTTACTATTGAAGAAAAGTATTTGGGGGGCCATGGAGAGATTTTGTAGAATAGCAGCCCAGTTTCCTATATGACTAATATAGTCATATAGGAAAAAGAAAATGAAGTTCAGAGTAATGTAGATCTTAACCCATTAATTGGTTTTTATTGAGAAGAAATTTTTATAATAATGATTTATATTGCAGAGAACATGATAGAAACGTTATGATAAAGATAATGCAAGGAAGTTAGTCAATTAAATTTTAATTTAGGTTCCTAGAATTACACCAGAATTTCATAGCAGTATCAATAGACTTTTATTGTTTTAATTCATAGAAGCAATAAATTCTTGTTTAAACAAGTTAAACTATGCAAAACTATATAAAGGATAGGTTCATTCTCCTTCCATGTCTGTGTTCCTTTAAAGTTACCATGTGGATTTGATTATATTATCTTTCACATCTGAAGTAGCACATACACACACACACACATACATATACACACACATCCATATTTTTGGTGTATGTGTTTTATTTTTATACATTTGGTTTTTTAGATGGAATTCTAATCACATTATTCTGTAACTTTGTTTTACATGTAATACTATTTTATGGTCATCCCTCTGGCAATATATGCAAATTTAAATGGCAGCAAGTCTTCAACTGTATGCATAGCCAAGAGAAATCCTGTACATGCCCACTAAGAGCTATATACAAGAGTATTCCTAAAAGCCCTGTTGTGTAGTATCAAAACCAATAGAATAGACAAATGGATTACAGTAGATTGATATAATGAATCTGTGCAATGGGGAAAGTTTATAGACTACACTGAAACATCATAATAGGGGTAAACCTCTGGAACAAGACATTGAAAAGAAAAAGCCAATATCAGAAGAATACATATGATTCTATTTTGTAGAATTAAACAAAACTAGCTTATTATTTAGAGATAAAAATGGGAATGATGGAGTCATTTACTTAAGGGGAGAGTCCAGAAAAGATTGGAAAATGGCAATGGCGGGGGGCTGGTGTTGGTTTTACTGTACACCTATTTTATAAGTACTCTTGATTTCATTAGTCAATAAACATATAAAAAGACTCCACATACAAAGTTAATGGCTTGACTTTCTTCCCAATATACAAATAGCTACAAAGCATTGATTCTTTTTAAAAAGTCAGAAATGGGCTAAGGAAATAAATTGTCAATTCATTGAAGAGAAAATTCACATTACTTATAAGATATGGAAAGATGATCAGCCTCACTAATGATCAGAGTAATGATCACTTAAATTAGATAACAAATTGCAAGTTTGGCAGATGGCCAAATTCTGCAAATGGGAATTTGAAGAACTCCATCAACCACTGCCAGCAGTGATGTAGGATAGTCACATGTTGTAGGTACAACTGTACATCACCACACTTTTGAAAATTGCATGCTCATTTTTCTCTACCAGATCAGAAATTGTAATATTCTATAAATACCTTGTGACCATAGAAATATGGTTGACGGTGGGACTCACACTATTGTGTAACTCTTGAGTAAGCATCATAGCTTCATTCCTGATGTTTTCTCCTTGGTTTCCTTTCCTGAGCCTGTCAACTGTTAGAATTACCTTCCACAGACTGGTCCTAAGCACAGCTCTTCTAGAAGCAGTTCTGAGGTAAACAGTGAGTACTTAGGTAGGGCATGTAGTATACCAGTGGAGGCAAGAGAATATATGTCAGACTTCCTGCTGTTTCATGAGAGGTGGTGATCAGGTTGGTCACTGTGGTTTTGGCCTACTTTCAAAACAATTAAAGGCTTCAAAAGCTTTCCTTAATTAATCTAAATTATGGATTATAATATTAATAGTACTTTCATAAATATGTACATGTGGCTAGCCCTCTATCATCTCTTAAAAAAAATCTATATTGGCCAAGCAAGGGGGCTCATACCTGTAGTCCTAGCACTCCTGGGAGGCTGAGGTAGGAGGATTACTTGAGCTCAAGAGTTTTAGACCAGCCTGAGCAAGAGTAAGACCCTGTCTCTACCAAAAATGGAAAAATTACCTGGGCATGATGGCACATGCCTGTAGTCCCAGCTACTCAGAGGCTGAGGCAGAAGGGTCACTTGAGCCCAGGAGTTTCAAGTTGCAGTGAACTATGATGACTGTACTCTAGCCTGGGTGATAGAGTGAGACTATGTCTAACAAAAAAAAAAAAAAAGTATATGGACTTTGGTCTGTAAAGAAAGCAAAACAACAGAAGCATATACTTTGGAGCTACATGTAGGTTAATACTTTGTGTTCCGCTGTTTGAGTTTATCAGCCATAGCTAGCTATCTGAAGAAGTTATGTTATAGTCATAGACTAGATCATTAAGACATGAAATCTGACCCAAAGACTTTTAAAAGTGGCTAAATCTCTGCCTTTTACTTCTAAGTTATTTATGATGCTTTGACATGAGCAGATGTTTCCTTTCAGACAGACTAGAGAAGTAGGACATGGTTATGAATTGTGCTTTGCAGTCTTTTAGTAATAATAGAGCAGTAAAATGTGAGAATTTCATCCTTTCCTCCCCACCCTGCCATGCCTCCCTTATTTGCTACTCTGGCATTTTTGGGATTAAACTCCCAGTGGCAGTAGCAGGACCAGAAGAGAGGGGGTGGATCATTTCTTCTCCAGGGACCAAGTACTTAGGCTTTCCCATTTTCAGTTTTCCCAGGCTGATCATGCTTCTGGGTGAAAAGGCAGAAGCAGTTCATTGACCTTTTATAAAGTACTAACCTTATGAGTGGTCAGTTACTGTTATGGTAACCATGGCTAGGTACTCACCATGACCAGCTGAAAGCAGTGCTGAAGCCTCACATTCTTTCATTGCCTTGATAAAAGTTTTCTTTCATGTTCATTTGGCCTTAATCCATTCATTCACATATTCACACAACAAATAGTTATTGAGCACCTACTCTGTGTCAGGCATTGTACTAAAGCCTCAATATATATAATGATAAACAAGATCCCATTCTTTTCCTCAGGGAGTTTTCATACTAGAGTCTGTCTACTACCATCTACCCCTGCCACAGCCACTGCTGCTGCCTCTTCTTCCTCCTCCCCCTCCTCCCACCCCCAACCCCCCCCCTCATGCCCCAGCCTTCTTGCTCATTCTCACTCTGGCTCACTGTCATTTCTTGATTGTTTGATGACAGTCCTTGCCTCTCTGACATCCACAACCACCACCATCAACAACTGAGAATACCCTACACCTTCTTGCCTTCCACACTCAAGCTCCATTGCTCCTTGAAAGATGTCCAAGAGGGAGCCCTGTCAGCCCATTGACACTCAGATAGTACCCAGTTCTCAGGCAGCGCCTTGAAGGGTTAAGGGTCTGGTCCTCAGTCTTCTGAAGCCAGAAATTCAATAACATATACCCAGATTTAATCAAGCTCAGAGTGACTGATTCATGCTGTTCAAACTAACAAAACACTGATTTCAAAACCAGAAGATAAATTTTCTGATTTACTTTGAGAGATAGAGATGACATAGTAATTAGCACCTTTCAATTGTTCCATTCTCTCTCTTCTGGTTGGTAGGTTCATAAATTAGTAAGTTGCTCAGTGAGCATAAAATTAAAGATAACTGGATGTGTATGCAGAAAATGCTCATTGGGTTGAATTTACCGATGAGTTGCCTGTTGATCTGTGGCACCACCATTACTGCACCTGTCTCATGTCCCTGCAGGACACTCCCCCACCCAGTTCCTGATAAATGGACCTCAGTATTATCCAAACTGCAGGGGAATTTTGTGCTTCCATTGTTATGCCATTGCAGAGGCTGATACAACATAGATTAACAGAGTGGGATCTACGTTCATTGTTCTCAGCGAACATTCTGTAAAGCCCTTGAGTTCCTTGCTATATGAGACTAATCCAGTATAATCCACTATTCAGACCTGGGCTCAAGAGAGCTTAGGTGTGGTTAACCTCTGGCTTCCCTCTGTGCGCGTGTTTATATGTGTGCTTCTTATCTGACACGTTGGCTCCTCAATGAGGGAACTAAGATGGATTTTAGCAATACTCACAGGTGCAAACTGGACCTCATGTTGACACTCTCACCTAATCCTCTGCTCCAGAAAAATCCCGATGCTTCTTCAAAGCCCAGTTTAAATCCCGTCTCTTTCAGTTAGACCTGAGGCACACCCACCCCATTCCCAGGCAGAGTGAATTATTCTCTTCTTTCTGATTCCACAGAAATTTTCACACTTTTCTGCCCCTTTCACTTTGTGTATAATAACTCATCTAATTGTCAAGTGTGAGCCAAGGTTTTCTCATTTATCTGATTAATCTTAGTGTTTGTGGTCCTTTACAAAGAGTATGGCATATAGTTGGTGCTCAATAATGTCTTGGATGAATTAGTAAGTATGTCTCTCCACATAACCAACTCAAGTCTTCTGGAAGAGGGGCCATCGGTCAAATCCAGCCTCCACCTGTTTTGTAGGTGAAGTCCTGCTGGAATGCAGCCACACTCTTTGGGACATTCTGTCTGCTTGCATGCCACACTGGCAGAGCAGTTTTGAGAGACTGTATATCTCACAAACTTAAAATATCTACTCTCTGGCTCCTTACAGGTAGAGATTTGACCCCTCATCTAAAAGTATATTTTCTTCCACTCAGCATTATTGGATAAACTCTGAAAATGGCTTAATCACTGGTTCCCATTTATCTAGAATTTTTTTAAAGTAATACACCACTACTTCCCTTGTCTCTGTGGTGCAGTCAGTTAGCGTGTTTGGCTGTTAGCCCAAAAGTAATATGCTGTTACTTTTGGTCTATCGAGTTACTACAGAGTTGATTAAATTACAGCTGTAATTGATTGCAAGCTTGGGGACAATACTCTGGTTACTCTAACTGGAGTCAGGTGTTTTCTAAATTGTGTCAATGCTACTATATACAAGTCATCATTTTTTGCTTACATTTGAGGGACTTCAGGGGAAATTGGGATAGAAAGAGTCCCAGTGTAACTTGCTAAATGATAAGCACCTAACTAAACAGCAGTTAAATTAGAAGTAAAAGACCTTTTTTCCTGAGGTTTGTAAAACAGGTTATATGGCAGTAAAAGACATGACAACATTTTTCTCTTTCCTATTGTATGAGCAGCCTAATACTACAATTATTTTGGTCTCTAAGCTTACATGACATGGGGCCTTTGTTCAGTCAAGTTTAAATAGAGTAAATGAAGCACTATCAGTTTTCTACTCACAATTACTAGAGATTATTATTCTAAGTTTACGTGTGTTTATTAACACATTGCCTGACACAGAATATGCCTTCAAAAATATTCATTGTATTAATTAATGTCATGCTAAATAGAACCTGGCTTTTAAAAAGCTTTATAGCCTTTCTTTCTTTCTTTCTTTCTTTCTTTCTTTCTTTCTTTCTTTCTTTCTTTCTTTCTGTCTGTCTGTCTGTCTTTCTTTCTTTCTTTCTTTCTTTCTTCCATTCTTTCCTTTCTTCCTTTTTTTTTTCTTTCTTTTTCTCATTCCCTCCCTCCCTCCCTTCCTTCTCACTGTGTCACCCAGGCTGGAGTGCAGTGGTGTGACCAGAGTTCACTGCAGGCTCCAACTCCTGGGCTCAAGTGATCCTCCCACCTGCAGCCTTCTGAGTAGCTGGGACTACAGGCATGTACCCCCAGGCCTGGCTAATTTTTCTATTTTTTGTAGAGACAAGGTTTCGCTATGTTGCTCAGGCTGGTCTTGAACTCCTAGGCTCAAGCAATCATCCCCCCTCAGCCTCCCAAAGTGCTGGGATTACAGACATGAGCCACTGTACCCAGCCCTATTTCTTATTAATATGTGGCATTGAGCCTCTAAGTATAGATATAGCAAGATTATATAATTGCTCAGAGGAGAGAGATGTTGTATATACCTGAAACTGGTAAGCAAACTTGACAAACGAAGTATAGTTAGAGTAACTATGGAAGGTCTTAAGGAGAAGAAAAGTATAGGTAAGGAGTGCATATAAGGTAGCATGATGGCATGAAGAGAGGCAGGCACACATAATACGAATTTAAAGGAATGGGCTATCCCAGCTTGGCTGAAGGAGTTTGTTTATGCAGGTAGAGCGCTTACACACAAAAGTGAGCGGGTAGGTTAAGTCTACAGCTCTAAAACTTAAATATCTTAGAAGCCTTACCATATTACTAGGAAACCACAAGATGTTTGAGCATCATTTTTTTAACAAGAGGTCATGCATGAGCTTGGGAGAGAAGTCAGGGCTGGGAGATAGATTTGGGAGTCGCCATCATAAAGTATCTTATTACAGTAGATTGAGGAGAATGCCGGCCAAGAATAAGCCTTAGGATTTAGCCATCAAGAGATCATTTGTTACCTTTGACAATGAAAACCAGGTTGCTGGAGCTTAAAGCCGAAGCACCCAGTCTGGGGGCTCAAACTTCTGATTGATCACAAAGGCAGTATTGGAAAGATTTCAAAAAGCCTAATGGAAGTCTTACATAAAGCTAAGTAAATAAACAAAAATGGAAGTTTCTTTTTTCCTGAAATCATACCAATCCAATGTTGGTTTTTAGCAAACTGGAAGTTCTGATGTGCATTAAAAATGGATTTGGCTGATTTAAAATGGGAAAAAGTACATTTCTCCTTATTCTTACCTCTTCAGCCTTATGGACAAGTTCACTTCAGTGTTCCTTGGAACACACTTTGGCAAATGTGTGAGATAATGATGTGAGGTTGCCTAGCAGCAGGCTTTGTGATGGGCAGAATCAGGCTTTTAGTCCCAAAATGTCCAAATAACTGCAACACTAATAGGTTACAAAGTGTTTCCGTGTAGATTGTCTCAGCTGGTCTTCTCACCACTCATTATAACATCTCTCAGCTACCTCTAATTCAGAAAATAATTAGGCAGTCTCCTTTTAACTTTGCACAGTCCTAGCCATTAAAAGTTGCTTTAGGATTGATCTGGAAGAAGTAAGAACTTTTCTTTTCTTCAGCCTCTCTTAAAAAAATCGAAATTCTGCTTTTTAAAATGTCCATTAGCAAAATCACTTTGTTTGTGCCGTGTCTATGGGTTTTCTTTTTTTTTTTTTTACGTGATTTTGTCACATCTGTGGCAATTTAATTTAGTAACCCAGAGAGTAATGATATCCATAATAAATATTTGAGGATTGAAGTGGTTTTTAATACAGACATATTTCTGACTCTTATATTCCCTTATGGACATTTCAAGGAATTGATTATTGAAATCTGAGTATCATTACCTAAAAATACTGAAAAGCTCATTGTTAAAAATCCTTGGAGTGTTTGTCAGCATCCTGCGCTGCTTTAGAACGCTGAACCCAGATTCCTAAACGAGAACCCTGTGTGCACGTCGTGTTTTTTAAGGCTGTATATCAATGGGTGTTTAGAAATTTCTCCCAAGGTAAACAAAAATCGTAAGCAAAATAACCTGCAAGGCTAATCGAACACTTTCTTAGGACTGTTCTCTCTGCACTCCATGTTAGAAAGTTCCTAGAAATTTTAAAAAATTTTAAAAGATAAGAGGCAGAAAAACAGGCACCAACAGACAATGAAAGAGGACTAGTTTCACACATAAAAACACATCAAATTTAAAACACCATTTGTTAATCACCTCAGACACTTGGCTGTGCTGAAACATGACCCTGAATAGTAGCCTTTGCTGAATAGTTCCAGGTAGAGCCGCAGGAGTTATCTGCGTTGTCTGAGGTGGATGCTAGTTCCCACACTGACACTGAAAGCCTCTCTTATGATCAGTTTTTGGCATTGGTTGGAGGGTCCCCATCCCCCAGCAGCTGCTACCCTCGAGGGCCAGCAAAACTCAGAGAGGCAAAGATCAGTCAGCTCCAAGCGCTGAGGAGATTCTGGCATCTTCCACATCACGGGAGGCCAGCCAAGTTGTGCTCTGACCCAACTATTAAGAAGGCCCTTTCAAAGATATAAATGTTTTATAGCTGAGCTTGCTCCTGCTTAAGAAGTCTCTGCGGTGTTCTACCCGCCTTTGTCCCAGGCCTGGCCACAGGCCATAAGCAAGGGAGAGAAAGGAAGGGAAGACTTTGACTCTCACTTTCCCCCTAAGTCCCCCAGACGTGATGTTCTGTACAGAGCATTGGAGCTAGAGGGGCAGTGGAGCGGGTTCCTGTCAGGAGGCGCTAAACCCAAAGGCAAGAGAGGTATGGAGGACAGAGCCCAGGCATAGAAGCCAAGAGTTGGAGCCAGAGTAGGAACAAAAGGAAAGTCACATTGGCCCCTGCTTTGAATGCAGAGGATGATTTGGTCGTGTTTACTCTTGCTTATCTTGTTCATTCCAATGTGTTTGAAGCTAAAATTCTTGGTGATTATGAGTGTTGGGCTTCTGTCCAGCAGGACCTCTCCTGCTTAACTGAATCTTCCTCAGCGTAGCTGTGTTTCCCATACTTACAAAAAAGCATCCATTATTTTCTTTTACAAGTGAGGAATTTAGGCAAGTCCCTTAGATTCAGAGATGCACTGAGCTTTGACTTATGGCTTTAAAAAATAATAATAATTGACCTTTTTCATAAATATATATATCCTAGATGGTGCCAAAAGTCCCAAATCATTAAAGGCATCCAGTTCGTTGGTGGTGCATGGAGGAAAAATTAAGCAGAAGTTTGTGGATCTGGGGTAAGCACTTCATGATGTAAAAAGCAAGCCCTCTATAAAAGGAAGATTAAAAGAGAAAATTTCAACTTCCCCTTTCTGTGTGCTGTCATTATAGGGCACCTTTGCGAAGGAATTCCAACAAGGGAAAGAAATGGAAAGAAAAAGAAAAAGAAGGCAATAAGTTTTCTGCAGGTAGCAGGTATGAGTAGGTGATTAAGAACACAGATTTATTTCTATACCTAAACTTTCTGCCTTCCTTTTCCACTGTTAACCAAAACCAGTAGTCAGTATCTTTGAGCTGAAGTGATATGCCTAGAATTGAGATGAAAGAAAAATTGTACAATCAGTTTATATTTGTCTTACTCTAATTATAGCCTCAGGCATATCTGTTGATTATTCATTGCAGACTTATGGTAACATGAAAAGTTTCAATAAATGTTTATCTAAATACAGCATAAACATATCTATACGTTACTTTAGACATATTTCAGATTTTTTGCCTGCCTACCCACAACACTAGTGCCTTCTCTTTTTGTTAAGTCTGAAAGAGTAATTTTTCATGTAAGTACCTTGTTGGCATTCAAGACTGCCCTGCCCCATAAGCATGTAAGAATGACCACCATCTCAAGCTGGACTTAGCTATTTAATTGATTTTGCAGGCACTATCAGCTATGCTTACTATTCAATAAAGACTACTTTTCTATAGAGAAGTGAGCTTTGAACAAACAACAAGTCAATTTTATTCTGAGCTACATAATTTTAAATTAGATTTGTACAGGGAGACAGTACAACATAAAGCTCTGAAGTCCAACTGCCTGGAGATGAATCACAGCTCTCCCATGTATTCCTTTTAAATGTTGGACAAGTTAGTTACCCTCTGTGCCTCTATTTTCTCATATAAAATGAGAGCAATAATAGTACCTACTGCATAAGGTTAGTGTGAGGATTAAATTAATTTTTATATAAAGCTTTAAAATGATACCTGGCACACAGGAGGTGTTAAGAAATAATAAAGTTAACAAATTGCTGCTGCTATTGTTATTATTATTATTTGCAAGTTACAAAGTAGTTTTCCATTTATCACTTCATTTGATCCTTACAATAAGATTGGGAGGGCAGATAATACTACCAGCCTTTATTGATGAAGAACTTCTCCTTCATAGAATTTAATTAGGTTGCCTGGGGTATGCAGGAGGCAATTAATGTCAAGCTGGGGCTTATACCTCCTGTCTAGGTGTCTTTCCAACACACCACGCCACCTCCAGTTACTTATGTATCTAGTGATGCTTAAATTTCTTTATGAAATTTAGGAGTCATCTCAATAGCATTGACTAAGGAAGAAACAGAAAAATTTGCTAAAAATAAGAGACTGTAAAATCCTTTGAGGGTCATTTACCTTCTTCATTCATTGTCCCCTGCTGTTTCCTCTTCTCTTTTTTTCTTTTCTTATATACACTTTGGTGAGAAATGTACCTTCTCCTTGGGGTTGCAGGAGAATGGGATGGGGGATGAAGAGAAAATTTCCAAATTAATTATTTTTGTCAGTCTGGGTTTCCTTTATGCTGTACAGTGGACAAAGGGTAGAAAGCTCTCATTTTATTGAGGACAACAATCTCAGAAAAAATAAAGGTAAATCTGAAGCCATATGCAACTCAAAAGCAATGTAACTGTGCATTGTTTTGGAGTGAGAAATAAAAAATGGTCTACTTTGTGCCTTAAAGTTAAGAATACAAAATTATCAAACATACTCAGGAAAAAATAAGAACAAATAATGAAGCCATTCCAGGGAGAGAAAGAGATGCACAAATATACAATGAGAGAGAAACTCAGACACGTCAGAAATGACACTGTCCTTCCTTTGGTCTCTGGGCTTCAGAGGCAGTCAGCACCTCTCACCTTTTAGGCACCACCTAAGAGGGATGCTCACGCTGACAGCCAGCAAAGGGATGAATGTTTAACTGAATTTCATCATAGTAGCCAGAGTCATCACCTTGTATAAATTCCAGGTAAAAATCAAGCAAATCTTGATTGTGTTAGTGAGCACTCACATTTACTGCAGGCAAAACTGCAGTCAAGGGTAGGTGGTCATCAGCACACTGCCTTCCCACAGCTCATGCCAGCTTCTGAACCCTCAGTGAAGCTTCTAGCTTGTCTGCTTAGCCATCTCTATGTTTTGTTTTTTTTTTAAGACAGAGTCTCACTCTGTCACCCAGGCTGGAGTACAGTGGCATGATCATAGCTCACTGCAGCCTCAAATTCTTAGGCTCAAATGATCCTCCTGCCTCAGCCTCCTGAGTAGCTGGGACTACGGGTGCATGCCACCATGACTGGTTAATTTTTTTTTTTTCCCGTTTGTTTTTTGTGGAGATGAGGTCTTGCTATGTTGCCCAGGCTGGTCTTGAACTCCTGGCCTCAAGCCATCCTCCCACCTCAGCCTCCCAAAGTGCTAGGGTTATAGGAGTGAGCCACTGGGTCTGGCTCATCTCTGTCCTTTTAAAGCATTAACTCTGGCTTCTTCCTGCTTCAGTAGTCACAAATTATTCCACATGCACCAACACTACTAAATAGTTTTTAATTAGAGTCATAATTTTACAATTATTTATAATTACAGTAGAATTTTAGCAGGATTGAAAATTCATATAATTGAAATAGTAGAAAAATAAGAGAAGAAGAGGGCTATTTTCTATGTCAAAAATATAATTTTTGAGCTATCACAGCAGTTGGTTAAAACACTAAAAAAAAAAAAAAATCTAATGACAGCCTCTATTCTCCTATATGGATTGATAATGGGCCTAGAACCTTATAAAACATTTTCCAGGAAGAGCAAAATTACTGCTTAATAGAGGCTTAATGCAATTGAGTGGGTTTCACAGGGTCCTTGAAAGTAGGAGGGCTATAAGTGCCATTAGCTTATGGGGGTCACACTGTAATTGTAGAGTGGAACCAGGAGTAACCTCACCACCTGGTGAGGCTTTCTCAGAACAAGAAGAAAAGGATTCACAGATTGAGTTAGTAACTTTATCTTTTGGGCTTTTCATCCAACTCTTATTAGGTTGTTAAAAAGCTGATGCAATCAGTCAGTTATAACCTGTGGCTATTAAATTTTAAAGGAGGCAAGACTTTTGCTGAGTTTGGCCTTGGTTTTAGTTTTTTTTCTTCTCATAAAGTAAAAAATTTACTCTGTTGTGTTTCTTGTGGACACATAATATCTCAGATTCCTGGCAAGCATGAGACAAATGGAGAAATTAGATGAGGTTAGTAATAATAAACAAACAAACAAACCCTGTAAGAAACATGATTTGTTTCTAGCCCTTTTCATATATGTGCTCAGCGAACATTTTGATTTAAACAGGCAGCATAGCATATAACAAAAGCAGGAAATATTTAATTGTCAGAGCTTGTTCATCCCTTAACATACATACCAAAAGGTAAAATAAAATACTATTCTAAATTTTAGAGTAAGTAGTAGCCATTGTACCCACTTTGGAGCTCTGTAGAGAAGCTCCCAGTTTGGTCACTGAATGGAAAGCCCTGTGAGCAGATGTGTATATCTCAGGGGAGGCCAGATGGGGCATGTCGGGAAAGTGATGGGGAAGGGAGGCAGCACTCCTGTGTGTAAGTGAATTAGAATTCACTTTGACAGTATGATCAGTGGAAAGAACACTGAGCTGGAATTCAGGGGAGTAGTCCTGACTTTTCCATAGACAAGCCTCTTAATCTCTGGGACCTTGGTTTCCTATCAAAAAGTGGATTGGACTAAAACTAGATGGTCTCTAACTCGCCATCCATCTCTGTATGTACTGTCCAGGGTGGTAGCCTCTAGTCAGATGCAGCTTTCCAGCACATGAAATGTTCTAGTCTATACTGAGATGTGTGTAGGAGAAAATGCATGTTGGATTCGAAGACTTAGTATTAGAAAAACAATGTGAAATATCCTATTAATAATTTTATAATATTGATTACATGTTAAAATAATATTTTGTACTTGGAGGGCCAAGTACAAAATAATAAAATATATTATTGAAATTAATTTCACTTCTTTTTTCATGTGGCTATGGAAAATTAAAATTTATATTGCAGTTTATATCATATTCTTTTGGATAAGTATTGATTTATATGATTCTGTGACAAATCCTCCTTTAATTTCTAACTCATTATTCACTTGGTCTATAAGCTAACATGTATTCATTTGTTATTCTTTTATGTATATTCCACTCTTCTTTGATCAAAAGTAATTTGTTTGTATACAAAAGTACAGGTGCTACAACAATATAATTTATTTAAAAAGTAAATTGAATAGAGAAAAATAAGAAAAAGCAAAAAGTAAGTAAGCTTGGTACTTAAAATACAACGTCATCAATAATACCATCATAGTTAGTAAAATAGTGCCCTTGCAGTGAAAGTCAAGAGCACGATGTCAAAATAGTTAAAAGCCTAAGTTCAAATCCCAGCTCTGCCACTTATCTTAGACAAGTCACTTAACCTCTCCGTGTCTCAGTTTTCTCATCTGTAAAATGGAGACATGTGGTGCTTCTTTGGGTTGTTGGGAGGAGTAAGGGGATCATATTCAAGAATATTTCAAGTTCTTAATAAGTAAAAATGGTTATAGTTATTATTTATATTTAAAACAAGTTTGATGAGAGGGATGGAAAACAGAATATTCTCCATGTATGTTTTGCTGGCAGTCTTGTTCAGCCAAGGATGACTTTTTTTATATCTTGAAGAATGAATGGGCTATAGGGATTATGCTTCGGGCAGTTCTTCATAGGATATTTCTCTCAAAGAGGATTTAGATAAATCATGGCATGATAGTGAGGTTGAAATGATATCCTGTGACAAGTCCCTGGGGGGCAGCTCTGCCCTGTTGCTGAGTTAGGGCAGAGCCCCTGCTTAACAGTAATCTGAGCTGGGTGGAAACACACCCATTTAGAAGACTTGAGGGTTGAGATAAGCACATGTGTGTGAGTAGAAAACACCTTGCCTCTGCCCAAGGACTGGTCCATTGAAAGCAGTCATTTTCTTGGAGACCTTTGAATGTCAGCTTAGCCTTAGTAGTGCAGACTTATTCTTTCATAACTGTCCCATTTTTAGCTGCATTTATCATTTCAATATTCAGTTTTCTTGTTAAGTACTTTTTAAGTACCTCAAGTGCCTGAAAACTGACAAACTTATATTCTGAACAATGAAATGCTTTTCATACTTAAAACAGCTCTTGCAAATCTAAGAATTTAATACTGTAACTGTAGTGACTCTAAACATCCCAATACAATTATCGGTCTGTGTACATTAAAACACAAATCTAAAATGAGTTTAAAATTTTAAGATAGACTCAGTGGACAAATTTCTCTCTCAGATTTCTGGTAGTACAAATTTTCTTAAATACCTAAGCAATATATGTATCATTCCTAAATTTAACATTTATGTTTTGATGGTATGGATTTTATTTACATGAGCCTCATGTTATTTCATTTTAAACCATCCCAGATTGGGGAAGACTCATTAATGGAATAGTTTCACCACCTCAAATGAGTTAAGGTCGAACACTCTACAGTAACCATCTCAGATGGACTGTTGGTTATTGATCAGAAATTCAGACCAGAATTCATGATATAGGAGCAAGATATGTCCAGGGTGGTTGGCCCTGAGCTGCAGATGGACACGTTTCTCATAGCTGTTATCTGTTAGAGTCTCCAAGAGCCCTTTTGATAGCACTGGCTTTACAACCTTTGGTGGATGTTAAAACCTTACAGAATTACTTGGTTTGATTTAGATGAATGAAGTCTGCAACTTTTCCTCTGGTTGCAGCTAGCTTTCTTCAATTAACTTCCTTTACTCTCTGCTTGAATTCTATATCCTTTTTATACTTTATGTGTTTTGGGGGTTTCTGAACTCTTAAGGATATTTTGATGGTATCCAATTAGATTCTGAATACTTCACATACCTATATTCAAAGTTAAAACAACAACAACAACAAAAAATCACCATGGACTGTTTAGCTGAGCAATTTAATTTTGGAGTGCTAGCCCCAAGTAAAACTGCTTTCAAGATGTATATAAACAAGTTAGTTGCTCTATAGAGTTATTAGCCATAAACCATTTAAATGCCAGGAAACAGCTACCCTCCAAGTGACATTGTTGGATTATGATGACTGAATTTGAAACCTTTATTTTCCCTAGCACCTAACAATAAAAATATCAAGGATATAGCGGCGGCTTGTGATTCTATTTTTTCCAAAAACGATAGCAAGCCATTCAAGTACAGCTAAAAAACAAAATAAAGGAAGTGTAGAACATACACCTATTTTGATCTGAAAATTATTTTCAGTTCCATCAAGAGTTCATTTTTACCAATAGTGATTTGGGAGAGGAAGGAAGAAAGGTGAAAAAGAGAGAAAGAGAAAAACAGAGAAAGGAAAAGACGGAGGGAGGGAAAGAAGGCAGAGGATACGAAGAAGGGGGAAAGAAGGACTTTGTGTTGTTCCTAGTAGATTTCTCCACAAAGTAAAAGGGATTATAAGAGTGGTCAAAATAAAATAACTGCTACCAAACTCTTTCTGCTCCTTTTGTGGGCCCAAGAGTTCAATTTGTCCAGAAGGAAATTGTCATTTATTTTAGAAAGCATGTCTGGTAAGCTGATAGGACTATAATTTTAAAGTGATTGAGTGATTCCTTTTGAAATGACTATTCTCTAGGTCCAAGCAAATAGAAGCATACCGCTGTTCAGTTATTTAAGGATACTAGGAAGCACACAAGGGTTACATCAATTCATGGAGTTTTAAAGTCACAAATATACAAAGAAATGCGGGAGACAGGATATAGCCTTAGCAGGGGCACAGATGAGCCTCATGGGGAACTGGAAAACTCTCTTCAAAACAACCCTAGAATCAGGCAGTTTGCAACTGTGGAGACAGTAGTTGTTTGCTCAGAAGTGGGCTCTCATCGCTCTCTACTTGACCCTTCCTCGTGCATTTTCTTGGTGTGTAAAGCTGGAGGAAAAAGCCTCTGGGCATCGCCAGAAGCCAAGCTTCTGTGATCTCATACACCGCAAAGTTTAAGAACCACGTGGCCTCAAGACCTGTCCTCAGTGCTGGATACACAAGTCCACATGGAATTATTGGTCTTGAATATTTTCTTGGCAGTGAGAATTTTGTGAAGGAGTTTAATTAGATGGCCTATTTATAACCTTTAAAACAGTATCCATATATTTAAGCACTACCAAACTGTATTGGAATTGTGAATGGAACTCTTAAAAAATTCCCCTGATTCAGAAATGTGTAATGATCATCAGGTCCAGTTTTTCCTCAAATATGTCTGATTATTAGAGGGTGGGACTACAGAGAAAGTATTTTTTAAGTTTCTACGCAGTTAGGACTTTCTGAGCATTTTTACTGGAATGTGGGACCTAGGCTAAAAGACAAGCCTCAAAAGTTGAATTATGACTGGCTAGTGAGAACTCCAGAGAGATTTACCTCCCCAGAGGTATGTGGTTATATCTGAAGGGGGTAAAGTGGAGCAGCGGGATGAGCCCCTGTTCCATGGAGACATTCCCAGCATTGTAAAGCTGGATCTACTAGTCTTATTTTCTCTCCAGAGACACGTATTTGCATTCCAAAAGGTAAGAACCCCAGATCCTTCCCTAGTTGCATTTGTTTACATTGAGGATGTAAGATGTCTCCCCCATCTCTCAGACATGCTGGGGGTAGACAGCAGTCACTCTCCTATATAACTAACCATTCCAATGCATATTTTTGGAGTTCCTCACCTACATTGTAGACCAAGTGTAAATGACATCTGGTTCTCATTGTATCACCCTGAAAGGGGGCATGGGGAACCAGTTCAACAGTTTTCTGTGAGTAAGTAACAATCTACTCTGCTCCACAGACCTGGAATTTGCATTCAGGATAATATTGATAAATATAGATATTAAAACTGAGTCAGCTCAGACCTGTGTTAAAATGCAGATTCCAGGTCAACTTCTCTATTCCCCTCCCCCGGATTCTAATTCAGTAAGTCTAGGTGCCCATGACCTGTACTTGAACAGCCCCCCCAGTGATTCTTACCAAGCCTAGGGATTAAAAAGTACTTCTTACAGATGACAGATCCATTTCTGCTAGCATGCTTCCTTAAGTTCAGTTATTGTACCACCCCTCCTCCCACCTTTTGATAGTATGTAGGTGGGTTTAAGGATACAATTTTTTTTTTAGTTTAAACGTTAGGATGAAACTGAAGATTACCATATCTCTGGTTGGTCTTTTTAATCCTTGTATACTCCTTTGTTTTGTTTTATTCCTAAAACAAAATGATTGATTTATACACTGTTAAAATCATCATATCTTCTGGAATCTTAAGTGTAAACAACAATTTCACTCACTCAACCTGCTGATCTCAATATTTTACCAAAACTTCACTGACTTCTCTATTTAGTCATCATTCTTACAATCCCTTTACATTTGTATCTTGCTTCACAGTTTACAAGATGTTTCTGCATTTGCTGTCCTATTTGATTCTCACAATAATATCTGGGAATAAATAGCAGTTATACTATTTATATAAATTTGAAATATATAGTATTTCAAAAGATATTTGAAATGAAATATGAGAAGACTGAAATGCAGTATACATGTAGGACAGAAGTTGTCTAGCTATGGTGTTCAGGCACTTTTAATTGCAGGGTAATCTTGTTGTTGTCATGATACCAACAGCTATCAAATAATAGGCATTCCATCAAATATCATTTGGACAAATTGAGACTGACCTCACTCGTTCTAAGATGCACATAAACTGCTGCCCTTTCCTACTTTGATTTCTTGAACTCCTGGCCTCAAGCATCCCAAAGTGCTGGGATTACAGGTGTGAGCCACCATGCCAAGCCAGTTCCTAATAATTATTTTTCTCTTAACTAAGAGATAATTACAAATATGAAAGTATCTGCATTAAGAGAAAAATATCTGGGTTTTTTTCCCCTTATAAATGAAAGGATAAATGCCTTTAAATCTATGATTGATTGATTGATTGATTGATTGATTCAGAGTTTTGCTCTGTTTCCCGAGCTAGAGTGCAGTGGTGTCAGGATAGCTCACTGCAACCTCAAACTCCTGGGCTCAAACAATAGTAATTGAGACTACAGGCAAATGCCACCATACCTGGCTAATTTTTTCTGTTTTTAGTAGAGGCAGAGTCTCTCTGTTGCTCAGGCTGGTCTTAAACTCCTGACCTCAAGAGATCCTCCCACCTCGGCCTCCCAGAGTGTTTAGGATTACAGGTGTGAGCCACCACACCCAGCCTGAATCCTTTAAATGTTAAACACTACTTAAAAAAAAAAAAAGTTAAACAAGACTTTTATACTTTGACAGTTTTCAAAGCACTTTCACACATATGCTCTTATTTAATTCTTAATAACCACATATGAGGTACATAAAAATGACCACTTTTTACAGATGGAGAATCTAGAGTTTGGGAGCAAGCCTCAGGCCACGTGGTCTGGAGGTGGTGGACCCTGACCTCCAAGTGGGACACGAGAGTTTCAGGTCTCAGGTTTCTCCTGTGAAAAGACACTTAAGATTATGATGCAAAACCAATAAGCTGTATGTTCTGCGTAAAGTCTCATGAGCCCTGAAATTTTAAATTATTTAAATATATCATTTTCTAAAGTCTCACACCCTTGGGAACATGAGTTCAGAGGAAAACAGGAAAGAGTGCTGGTTATGAGCTAATATCACCAGCGGTAAGGCATTGATCTATTGCCAGGCAGAGGGAATGCTGTGATGACTAACCTACCTAATAGCAGTTCCTAAAAGACTGTATGCCCCTCCTTGATTATAATTCCTCCACATACACTTAATAGGAACATTTAATAAAAATTCACCATGGCAATAGCAATACAAAAATGTTGATCATTGTCATACAATCCATTTAGATGCAAAAAAGGTAGCTATTAAGACTAGTGTTATAGTCAAAAGGGCAAAAGTTTTTACTCCGTTAAGCAGAACAATTTCTCAAACTTTTAATTGCAACTACATTCAAAGTTGTTTTCAGAATTCAGTTTAATAAGTTTTGCATCTGCCCTTTCTTTGTCTAACACCCCATTCTTTTTACAAAACAGGATCTTCAGATGCAGGCTGGAAAACTGGAAACCCAAGCCACCCTCCTCGGCAACTCAGGCCTCCACTCGCTCCCCTTGCATGCCTTTCTCGTGGTTTAATGAAAGCCGGAAAGGATCCTATTCCTTCAGGAACCCGCCTTCACCTACAAGGCCCCTTCAGCCTTCTCTCACGACTCTAATTTCAGATAAAAAGGGGTCCAAGGTAGAATACACATGGATTAAAAAAGCAAACAAGTAACCCAAACCCCTCCTTCTCTTCCGTCTTGGGAAGGCCTTCTCTACTGTTGTGTGTGGTCTGGATCTGAGAAACCCATAACACTGATAACACTGCGATAAACAATGCATGATATTTCTTGTGGGTGGGGGGGAAGGAAGCCTCAATTAACCATCGCCTTCTTTAATACTTTTCTATTCTAGATTGTACATTACTCTTTGATTTGCCTGTCTTTTCACATACTGCTATTTAATCTCAGTTTGACAGTTAAGCCATGCTGGGAAAGATGCATTTGAATCATAGAACAGAATGGTAGATCTGTTAACCAAGCAATCTACTTTAAATTACAATACAAAACTATTTCACTGTGCTCTTCGTGATTTACTGGAAAACAAATAAATTTGGGACTGAATATGTGTTCAATATCTAAATGAAACTCTTTAAGACAAACCAATGCTGATCCTCACTACTTTTAATCAAACTTCCATGTTGAGCAACTGTCTATCGCCAAAGTTCTTTAACTTTAGCAGAATTAGGAATTACATGCATGGATTTTATTGGTTTTTAAATGCATCGTGCTTATTTCCAGCATGACACTGCAAACCTTTTCTAACATTGTATCGGAAGACATATGGTGGCTAACTTTCACATGTTGTTTGGTCTCCTTTTATCTGTGTTCACTTTTCTTTCTCAAACAGAAACATGTGATTAATGTTACTTGACTTTAATTCTTTTCTTGAGGTGAACAGCTCTCAAAGGGTTTGGCCGGGGTTTGGGGTTGTGTCATTGACAAAACCAAATGGTAATATTCTGTGTTAAATGCCCTGATGTTTAAATGTTCTACCAGCCCAGCTCCACGTGCTCTGATTTAGACTCCTTTTCTGAAGTTTTAGCAAACGTTGGCATTTGATTGGTACTGAATTCTCCAGCCTCTATCATGGTATTTATTTTTGATAACTAACTAAACCCAATACAAGGGAACCTGATGGAAAACTAATAGTGCAATTCCTAAGGAAGTAAAATATGAAGCAAGATGGTGTTGGCCAAGTGCTTAGAGTTCCTGAGCACTTGGCCCTTCTAGAATCATTAGCAAAAGAAGTTTTGACAGCAGTAGAGCATTTTGATCTTGAAACATTTTCAGTATTGGATCTGAGACATCATCTAATGTTGCTTGAATAATTGCACCATTATCTTGCACTGAAGAGACTCCAGATTTGGTTTAAAATGTTTTCACAAATGCAGCTACGTAGTCACTGTGAAGTTGTTTTGATTTTAATATCCACTGAACATTTTGATGAAGTTCTGGGGAAGTTGTCTTTACACACTTCCACCTCTCCAGCCTCAGGTGCTTATGTGGAAACGTGTGTCAGTTCTGTGCCACTCTGCTCTGAGAGAGTTGTGTTTTAACATGTAACTACTAGTGTATTATCAGACCGTGACCTCCCCCAGAACTCATCATCTTGAAGGGTACCTCCAGGAGAGGACCTGCCATTTCTCACAGTATTTATCATGGCCAGCAACAAGCGATCCTTCCCAGGGGGTGCTCTCGCTACCTTTCTAATATGAATTGCCATCTGTTCCTAATAACTCAGCCTCTCCACACCATCTTGTATTTTTACTTACACTGTTACTCATCACGATTAGGGTCAAAGAAGATAGGCTTATTAATATTACTCCTCTGAGCAGTTGCAGAGGATAATGAATTCTGTACCCTTGAAGGGAGATTGAAGAATCATTTCTCTAAAACACCTATCCTTTCGTCAGAGGGAGAAAGCGCCCAGAATTCCCTGTCACCCACAGAAGGGGCGCTGTTCTCAGCCACTGCCCCATTGAAGGTCATCCCCAAACCAAACTAGGAATTTCTTCTTAGATTGTTTTAAAAGAGGCGTTTAGAACTTGTGAACGCACCTACCTCTGTCTCATCCACCGTACTCATTTACCACTGAGCTTCATTTGTTTTTACAGGCTTTTACCTTCCCTGATGACTTCAGTCCCAGCAGCACCAGTTCCGCAGACCTGAGCGGCCTAGGAGCAGACTCCAGAACCTTCGGCCTCTCTCAGTCCCTTGTGCTGTCCTCCGATGAGGTACTTCCATGGCACCATGACAGACGTGCTTTCTCAAATCAGACGTTTTACCCATGAACTATCGCTGGGAAAATGTTTTTAGGGTAGATTTTGCATAGAAATAATCAGGCCCACGGTCTTATGTTTAATAGGAAGTCCTCATGACTTCTCTCCCTCTCTGTCAAAAACGTGAAAGCCCAGTGTTATTTCCTAACACTTTCCAGGGACCCGTGTTACATAGATATGTAAACAGCCATGGTGGGGAGACTGGGCTCTGGGGAGCAGAAATGGGGGAACAGCTGAGGAATCACATGGAAGTTTGTGTATTATCCACTCCCTTTCTCTCTTGCCTCCTCCACAATTGCCCCGTCCCAGGATTCCAGTAATCCCTCCAAATAGGGGGTGGCCCCTGAGTAAGAATCACTGCAATGGGTAAGCATAGTTCTGATAAGGAAGGAAACAAGGAGGAGAAGCAATTATTTAGAAGCCAGGGCCAAGATCAGCATTGCTGAGAATCATCAGGAGAAAAACATGCACAAGAGAGGCGGGAAGCTACATTAGCAATCGACTTAGTTTCCCAAAAAGAGTGGTGGGGGAACAGGAAGCACTGTATGTAAAGATATTTTTGCTCTAAATATTTTTTCTTATTGATTTCTTTCTAACATGCTTTTTGTTTCATAAAACTTTTTTTCTTTTTTTTTCTCGTAAACTTTTCAGCCCATATTCTTCAAGCTTGGTGACGTTTTAATTGTATTAAAACTGTGTGCTGTATATGTTGTGTCTGTTTCTATAACACTTTTCTTCTTGATTCTTTTGTCACTCCCTCGCTCAGAGCCTGGATATGATTGATGACGAGGTGAGCTATTTATTAGTGGGCTGTGTGTGGCGGCATGTGTGGTATTGTTCGAACTTGCTTTTCTCTCTTTGCACATGATTTAAAAATCAAACAATACATGGACACTTTCCTCTGTAGGGGAAGGTTTCCTTGTATTAAATAGCTTCAGTCTCTGCCTTTGTGTCTATCTTAGTTTGAAAGATGTCCCTGAGGCAAGAGGATCTCCAAATTCCACCTCTAGAGTTCCTGATGTATCTCCCATCACCATCACTGTGGCTCGGCCCATTCTTTTTCACCTCCTGCTCCTCCCTCTTGGCTTACCCCATTCCCTCTTCTGTGTTCCCTGCGTGGGTCACCAGGGTGACTCTGGTCTTTCCTCCAGGACCTGTCATCACCTTCATCTCCTCTCAACTTAGTGGTTCTAAGAAACCAACCTGCCCCTTTCTACTACTGAAAGGTGTATTCTGCAGTGGACAGAGCCGCGAGTTTGGAATAAACCCCTAACTGTTGAGCTCTATCACTTCCTAGCTGCATGATCTTGGACAGATCATTTAGACTTTTTGAGCCCCAATTTCTTCATTTATTAAAAGTAATTATGGGTATTACCTGCCCTACCTTCCACACAGGTTTTCTTGCTACTCAAGTGAAATAATGGTGGTAAAATTTTCCCTAAGAAGGCTACAGGGCTTAATGCTCTCTCCCAAGTGAAAGATACCTCAATAGTTTTTAACATATTTTTACAAAACTCTAATTCTTATCAGTGGATAGATACAGAGTGATGCATTGCATGTAGAGATTTATAAAATATGTATTTTATATTTATTTATTATATTAATTATAACTAATATAATTAAATATAATAAATGTAATTTATTATATAATTAATTATTAAATAGAATTAATATAGCTAATATAATTAAATTATATTAATTTATTTATTTACATCTGATAATATTTCCAGAGGGTTTTAATGTAAAAGCTTGCAACATTAGAATGTATTTTCTTAAACTTCCTACAGTAACAATTCTGCTTTATTTGGGGGAATTTTTAAATTTCCAAATACCTAAAAACATGTAGGTAATAAGTATGTTTCTTTTTAACACAGCTAAAACCAATAGCTTATCATTTTATGGTTTAAAAATAAATGTGGCTCTCCTAGGTCAAGAAATTCCTTTTGATAGCATCATAAGAGCCATAGCGTTTTTTTCCTTTAACAACACTGCATAACATTCCTATCTCAGATCCTTGATGATGGACAGTCTCCCAAACACAGTCAGTTTCAGAGTCGGGCCGTACATGAATGGAGTGTGCAGCAGGTTTCTCACTGGTTAATGAGCATAAATCTGGAGCAGTATGTATCTGAATTCTGTGCCCAAAACATCACTGGAGAGCAGCTCCTGCAGTTGGATGGAAATAAACTTAAGGTAAAGAATTACATGTCTATGGTAGGTTACCAGGTATGATTTATATTGCTCATAGTACCTAAAATGTTTTCATTAGATAAGAGCATTCTGCATATCTAAGAGGTAATACTCATCAAAAGTCAGCAGAAAGGATGGTGAATTATTTCAGAGTAGTAAATGCAGTTTCAGAAAGACCATCAGGGGTTCTAAATCAAACGATAGGCTGCCGAGTAGAAGAGCTAGGGCCCCACTCCATTGCTTCTACCTAGCAGCACATGGTGCATATATTAACTCTGCTTACTTACTTTTGATGTAGTATGAGTTTTAATAATGGCCAATGTGGACTCTCTTCATCACATTAGGGTTAAGACTCAGATCCGTGGATCTTCTTTTCCTTATTCATGTCTCCTTCACCCTCACTCTTCCCTATGTACCACTCCAAAACAGGGACGGTATCTCCCCAGAACTTATTTCCCTAAATATGTACAGGTCGTGTCTTCCCTCCCCTCCCCTCCATTGCATTCTCATTTCCACTCATCCAGTCCATCTCTCTCCGAGACCGAGGTGCCACCCACCCCCCGTGGGAAAGGGCAAAAGGAGTTTACAGCAAGTGCCTTGCACCCCCCACCACCTCCTCACCCCCCTGCTAGGCTGACGGGCAGGTGAGTATCTCTTGACAGTCTTGAAAAGGTTAGAGATCAATCAATAGCTTGTGAATATGAAGGCTCCATTGACAAGGCTGTCCCTGTTGGGGAGATGGATGCATCCCGCTGTTGATTCTGAAGGTCACGAAACATTTAAAGTACATAACCAACTCTCCTTATTCTGAATTCCAAGCTCATCGAGCAACCTCCTCATTATAATCAGGCTTCCTTTATAGGTCTGCCTACAGGGAGAGAATGGCTACTCATGCTGACATGAGCATTCTGGCCCCAAAGACATTTTTGGTTCTCATTGTAAATGAATACATTGGCAGAAAGGAAGCCATTTCAATTCTTTCTTGCCCTTCTTGGAGCCCTCTGTGGCAGCAGGTGCCCACTTCTACCCTTTGAAAATATTGATGAGGTTAGCAATACTTTCACCTGTAAATGTCCACAGCCCAAAGGCTGGAGAAGTAGAGCTGTACCCTTTTCTTCATTCATTCACCCATTAATTACCAATTTGGAAAGCATTTCCTTAATGAGCTTTAGGATATATTTTGCAAAGGACTTCAAACAACAAATAATGTACAGCCCCTCTCCCACACTGTGTAAATCAGTTCTTACCTCTTCCGTCTATGTTTAAATTAGTTTATGAGCCTGAACATACTGTGATATTAATGCCATCAGAGGGGCCATTGGTTTTCAAACTCAGTGTGTATTTCCTTCTTAGGCTCTTGGAATGACATCCGCTGAGGACCGTGCCGAGATCAAGAAAATGCTCAAGGAAATGAAGACATCTATCGACAGGGCTCGCAGGGCCCAGGAGAAAATGGAAAACCAGAGAGAAAAGCTGAGGAAGAAGGAGCAGGAGCAAATGCAGAAGAAGTCCAAGAAGTCCGAGAAGATGGCACCATCTGCAAGGGAGGGCGCTGGTGTGTAAAACACCCCCTCCTGCAGAAGATGTGGATACTCAGAAGTCCACACCTCTTCTTCCTCTGCTCTCCTCTGGAGGCTGGAGAACAACCTGATTATCAACCTGCTGAAATAATCTCCAGCCACCATTGGTCTATTTAACAAATCAGAGATCTCCTTTGTGAGAGATACAAAGTAGTCGTGTCTCTCTCTTTCTTCTCTTACTTACCAATGTGTTGTGTTGTGTTGAGTGTGTTGTGTTACTTGGAAAACTAGCTCAACAAGAGCATGACGTGCCCTGGTGTTGTTAATGGATCACTGCCTTTTCAGTATGGACCCTGAAACTGGGCAGTCGCACGCATCTGCATGCCAGAGAGCACCCTGCCCTGAGGTGTGGGATCAGTACTGACTTCTAGGGCTGCAGAGTCCACGCTAGTGTGTAGGAACAGTTCCCCTCAATCCTTTGTCCTGCTGGCAAAGTATGGGTGCTCTTCCACACAATGACGTACTAAGGGAAAAGGCAGGCAAGCTGTTCTGCTTGCTGGGCATCAGCATGAGAGAAAAGAATTTTAGTTATTTGTTAACTATAGAAGAAGGCAAAAGCCTTAAGAATGTGGACGTGGGTATTACCTTGGGGGTCCGAAGGTATCATTTATCCTCCAGATATAGCTGAACAGGGAAGAAAAAAAGTCAGACTTTAATGCAGCTGTGGGATATTGGGATCTGTTGTTTACTTTGCTACCGCTGTGTGTTCAGTATTTCAGCAACACTGGCAAACATAACACAGTTCCTTTCTTTCCCCCAACAAATTGAACAGGAAATTGATTTTTAAGGAAACCACCATTTTCAGGTTTCCTCTCCTGGGAAACATTCTGGCTGGTCTTCAGCCCGCCTGTGACACAATCAGGAACTCGTCACATATTTTCTACTCAAGATTTCCCAAGGGGCCTCCGTTAGTGTTTTAACAAATGTACTTTTAAGAAAAATAGAAATACCAGTTAGAGAAAATTTAGATTTGAGTAACATTCAACCAGAGAACCAGTTTTTTTCGAACACAAAGAATATTCCTGTGAAGGAGAGCTATCAGTTGTATTTTAGAGATATTTTTAATGGTTTCTCTGACCCATTCCCTTCCATACGTTAGCGATTTCCACTTTACTGTTAAAATTTGTTTAAGGCAGTACATAGAGTGTATGTTAGTGGTGGAGGAACTTACACTTAATCTAAAGCCAGTATTAAAGAGCAGTATTTCACTAAAGTCAAATGCAGGAGACTGGGCAGAAGGAGAAGACAATAAACTCATCTTGAGATATTTCAAAGGAAAAGGGTTTTTTTCGTTGTTGTTTATTTGTTTGTTTACCTTTCATGCTTATGTTTCTGGTTCTCTTTGCTACGTTGGCTGTAAATACGAGGCCATCCACTTTCAAGGGGATAAGTTTCAGAGTAAGACTTGAGGTCACTTGACTTGTTGGACAAATATATTACTTCCTTTACTACGTGGGGGTGTTTGCTCTGTTCCCCACTGGAAGTGTAAGGCTTGGGGGAAAGCTTTCAAGCATACAGGTGAGAGATAAGGTAAGGGAACTCCTGCCCTTATAGCCCCATCTCATATTTTAAACATCATGGTTTTATTTTTTATTTATTTATTTTTTATTATTATTATTATTATTATTTTTTTTTTTTTTGCTTATCTGAATATCCAAATTCTGGAATTGTCTAAATTAGAAATTGTTAGCTGTATTCTTTCCTCGAGGCCTCTCTCCTTTTCATTGTCAGAGTATTGTCTGTTGTGCTTCAGCCCCTTGTCACTAGGTACAGATAATTTATTTGGCCCTCAGAAACATCAGCATAAAGTAACTCTGTGTTTTACAGTGATTAAAGTCACCAGTATGTATTTCTATCTTCCTTTTGGGGTATGATAACAAAACTGCCACACTGGATACACTATTAATATTTTGAGATATCTGGTGCTTTGCTATTTATTAATACCATGAGAAATAGGAGCCACTATTAGTGAACTCTAAAATTTGGCAAATCTTTTCTAATACTAAAATATTAAATTAGTAAAAATCTGGTAATACTAGTGCTTGCTGTTGTAAATGTTTGCCATTTTTGCTGATCGTTGGGAAGAAAGTTACCTGGATCACACTGGAAGTTTCACTGTATTCATTTCAAGAGTGGAAATGGAAGGATAATTATCATAAGTTATGTTTACACTTTGGTAATATTTGAAAATGGATGTATATATTGGAAATGTCTGTAAGTCTCTGTCTCTGCACCTAATTTATCATCTGTTATGTTGCCTTTTCTTAAATATCCTAGAAGTATTTGTAACTTTATTTGTACACTTACAATGTTTAGATTAATGTCCAACTGACAATGTTATACATCAAATTCTTCTTTAAATCATTTAGTTTGTATTATAATTACTTTGATTTTTTTAAGTTAAATTATAGCAAATTGAAGTCTAAATGAATTACCTTAACATTACTACTTAAAGCTGCTGACATTGTAAAAGACACTTGATTTTATTGTCCAGCAGAGGATAAAATGTAAACTGACTGATACAAGGGTATGAAAACAAAGTGAAAGACCTCAGATCTTGTGAGCATTGTTTTCCTATTATTTCTTTTATTGACTATAATGCATGATACTTAATTGAAAGTTTCAATGTCTTGCACAATTTCTACTTTAATACTAGTGGTTTTCAGTGTCTGTACAATTTAACACAGAATTATTGCTTCCTGAACCTTAAAAACTGGAGTTTTTTGTTAGTGGAAAATGAACAAAAAGGGAATAGCTTGTTACTATTAACTTTATTCCTAAAAGACAGCTCAGTACGACTCTAACAATAGCCAAAGGTGTTTTAGAGATTAGGTTATACTTTGTGGGGATGGGATGTGTGGAGAGGCCATGCTCTAGACAGACAGCAGTGTGTGACCTGTATCTGGGTCGTTTCCAGTACAGGACTTTAGTTTTATAACAGATTTCTTAAAGACCACCTCCCTTAAAGTAACCCACAGTTTATGTAATACTTTTCTCATTTTTTTTTTTTCTGAATCAGAAGTTTACTTCAGAGTGTTAAGTTAGGAAAGAAACCTCATTTTATCCATTCTAACGCTTTGATGAAGTCCACCTTTAGTTTCTTAAAATAAAGCTATTCTGTGGTTATCATCCTTTAGGTGGGATTGACACTGATTTCCCACTTGCAATATTATGTAAGCCTTTTAGCCCATGGCACTTCATGATTACAGCATCATAGGTGCTAATACCAATCTCTACTTTGAACTGACATATAATAGAATCATCTACCGGCATGCTCCTTTGTTGTTGGAAATGAGGAACCAGATTAACCCTTGCCACTACCTGTGACCCTATAGTCATCTCTAGCCTGAAATCTTAAAATATCCCAGGCCCAAGCCACAAAAATGGTCACGGGATGTTTGTTCTAGCACCTCAGCCTTTATGGTTTTTGCTGAAGATAGAGAACTAGGTTCTTTGTGCAGCAGGGTTAACGTGCTTGAAAATTACATTTTAGAAAAGGTAAATGGATGAGTTCTAGAAAGAGAATGTCCATATGTTCTACTAGAATTGTTTTCATTATTATATGGGTGGAAGGAAGTAAATTCTCAAAAGAAAGTAGTGTTATAGGAAATCTGAATGTCCTTCAGTGATTTCACTCCTGAAAACCAGGCTGGGTATGTTGGCAGATTTTGTTTGCATTTGTCTTGGGTATTTAAAGTCTCAGGAAATTTAATCTTGGTCCAAAACACTGGGGAAAAAATAACACCAGACAAAACATATTTGAGAAACTTGAAGTAGCAGCATAGAATAGGCCCAACTAAGAAGCTGGAGAGTAAAGAAAAAGCCTGTAGAATCAGTTTCCCCTGGAAAGCAAAAACATCAAGTTTAGTTGATGGCAGACAGAGGGTCCTTACGCGCTTGCGCGTGGGTGTCTGTGGTTTTGTTGAGGGAATGGTTGTTGCTTGAAGGGTATGTATGTGAGCATATGGACCAAGCACAGTAGGGACTGAGATAAACATCATGATTCCCAATGCTTGACCCTACCCCAACCCCAAAACCACTAGGGATTTAACAGTAAGACGTAAGGAATGAGAGAATAACAGAAAACTTCTCAATAACATGCATGCCGTTTGTGTAGATGTGAACTACATATGTGTGGAGTATAACTCCCACCTTATACACACAAGCCACAATCATGGCATAAGATAACGTGTATAGAACCTGATGATGTCAGTTAAGACCCTAAGCTGTAATCATAGCCTTATTGCCACTTTTTGTGTCGTGTATACATCGTATGACTCATAGATTTAATTAAAAGATTTTTTGATGTAAGTATTTCTACTAAATGCATTTATCCTTCTACATGTTTATATATTTTGGTAAAATTGATTTATTAGATACTTGGTATTTTAGGATGATAAAAGTTCTTCAAATGGTTGGTTAATGCTTGGAGGTCAAGATTGCACATTGCTGAGTTAGAACTCAGAAGAAATGTATGCAGCTTTGGACATTTTCAACTGCAGACTGAAGTTTTCTTGGCTAAAAATTGCACTGTAATGTGTTCTTGTGAATTTGTTCACACTTCTAAGACAGAATTGGTTGCCGTGATGCTGAAGCCACTCACTACTGACTGTCTGGTAGTAGTGGTGCCATCAGATGACCGTTTATTTACTTCTTATGTACGTAATGACATTTTGGTCGTTGTCAAAAATCACACAATTGGTTGTGAATGTGAGTATGTTGTTGGAAGGTGTACACTTCTGTTTCTTTCAGCTATTTTATTTATACACCCAGGTTTTCTGGTAAGGATTTAATCATTCATTCATGGAGGAACAATTAGCCTGAAATAATTAATGACCGGAAACAGTGAGAATGAAAAGGCACTCCAGCTAGATAACACCTCCCAACAACGTCTAATTTAGTTAGTGCTTAGTGAAATTCCTTAAATATATATATATGTGTGTGTGTGTGTGTGTGTGTATTTTCCTCAATCTTATTTAATGTCGTAACTACTGCTTTTGTATTTTTTAATGGTGTTGCAATTAAACTGCTAGTACACCTGCTACATATTATTGACAAAACTGGACAGCTGAAAACTTAAAGAATCAGTTCTGTTCCACTGTAAGAAGTTGATTTATTTTTGGCTTTCTTTATATATTGCTAAAGGAAAAGAGTTGTTTCAAAATAATTTTAAGTCCAATAAGGATGGACAGCATGTTACCTAAAACTTTTAATTTGTACATTTTGATATCTGATCATTTGCATGGAAGAGACGGTAGTGCCACGTGTGAATTGTTCTCTTGTGCTTGGTTAATACGTACTTCTCTAGATTGTTCCGTCTCAAGTGATATCCCTTACTTTTTGGTTTTCAGAGACATTCATAGCAAAATACCATAGCAGTCCTTTGTTTTCTGGCCAATTTAACAATACTTGTGATTAAATTGAACTTGTTAGTGTAAATAAATTTCTTGCCAATGAGTATTATTGTTGTAAGACAATGAATGCAAATAAAAAGAGAAATATCGAGATCTGTCGAAGTAATTTTTTTTTACCCCTCTCCCATTTTCACCTTCCACTAAAACAAGCCTTGACTGGGTAAACCTGTATTAACTGTCAAAACATATCTGTCAATCAAGAGCAAAGTGCACATTTTTCATGGAAATGAAACTAAAAATAAGTTTTAACTCTGGTAAAGTGTAAATTGGCAGCTAGAATTACATTTGAAAGCACAATTATGGAACTGGGCATAAAGGTAAAAGAGCAAAAGCCTCCCCTCAGAGCTCCCTCGCCAGCTCTTGTTCCCCTGTCGCCGCTCCTTCAGCATCAAAGTCTCTGTTACCTACATCCAGGAAGGCCTGTGACAAGTCCATTAAGCAGTCGGCCTCACACAGTGAGGCGCGAGCTGAGAAAGAATCGGGGCCATCCTAGAGTACAGGGTTATTTTAAACAATTTTATCTCTAAAGCCTTAAAAATTCAGAAGACTTGGATACAACAAGTGAGTGGTATCATTTCATTCTTTCTCACACACATACACTATAATTTATCTGTGGCTAAACCTTTGGCAATGCAAAAGTTTAGATCTAGGCATTGCAGAATAAATGAATTAAGCTGTTTTCCTCTTTAGGGAGTGTGTGTTATGAAATTCCTAAACAAGGCATGTCCCTTTTTATCTTGAGTATACGCTACATCAAATTGGATAGCTTTTTTTTTTTTTTTATTGGCAGAATTTGTTTATTCTATCGAGAACAAGGAAGAAAAGAATATGGTTATTTTATTGCAGATGTTATGGAGGCTAACTACTCAAGAGATTTCTTTTTAAATGAGGAAATATGTGGGGTTTTCCCCCTAAGCACCACATTCATTGGTGGTTTCAAAACAATATTTCAGAGAAGCCAGCTTCCTGGGTTGTGAATAGCATCTCTGAATAATTGAGCATTCGTAGGGCACATGATAGTATGTTCCCTGAAATCGTGACTAAAATAACTCCAGTCCTGATGTGAAGGAAGTGTTTTTTGATAAACAACATGTTCCTGTTTATTACTTTAAGCCAGTGGTCTTAAACTGTTGGTGCTTCTCAATTTTTCAGCAAAACATTTTCACCCAAATGCCAGACTGTCATCATGACAAGTGCCTTAGAAAAACTTTATTGCTAAATTGACTGCCTTAATTTAATGTCCCAAAGAAATAATTCAACATGGAGGCTATACCTTCAAAACGAACAAATAAATGAAGATAGATAACCTTTATATATCAGCTTTTATAACAAAATAATAAAGACATGTTTTCCTCCTACTCATGTCCCTCAGAAGATAGCCAAAGGTTGTTGACCTTTTCTATTTGGGTTTTTTTTTTTAACCTTTTTATTTTTTTAGCCTCCACAGAAAGTTAGAATGAGGGAAAACAACAACGAAAAAACACCACAGCACCACCACCTAAACAACAATGCAGTCTTTGGGGACACTCAGCTTTGCCTGAATCAGTTTATGGGCTTTATTCTGTATCTAATCACGGAAGCAAACAAACTTCCTCCTGTAACCAGGTCAAAGAAATTATAATGTACAATTTGTGCCAAGATAACAGACACTTACAATTTTCAGGCATGACAACACTTCCAAGAATTTTCCTACAGTCCATTTTCCTACATTCCATTGCTACAGGAGAATTGAAAATGCAAGAGTAAAAGGAGAGTTGGGGTGATTTGGGTTAATATTTACTGAGAAAGTCGTATCTAGAAGGGGAAAATGGAAGTCAGTCTGACTATGCCAGCATGCCCAACAGCTGCATGTAAAAAGCACACCTGACGCTTAGGGGTAACTTTGTAGTGCACATCTAGTTCTCTGCGTGTGCCCTGAGCGGAGCTCTGAGGACATGTGAGCTAAACCTGTTCTCGTCTGTCTTCTGAGCAAGACCTGGCAAGGCAGCAATACATGCATGTGCTTTTAGAGAACACATACGTTTTAGGGAAAGTACTTTTGGGGTCACATGCAGTTATTTAAGACCTGACAGTTGGTGTAACAAATCTACCCATTTTAATGAGAAAGATTTGTATTGGTAAATGAAGTTTTCAAGTAGTCCAAAACTGATTTGATATCACATTCTTCAAAAAAGCCAGTTAAACAGCACTTGGATGCCTCATGGTGTCCAAATTTAGGGTCCACGTTCATTGTTCAGATGAGATCACTAAGACACTTAGAATGTGGCGAACGGTTGAAATGATGGGCTCAAAGTTTCCGTGGTCTGGGTGCAAATTGGCCTGTTAGAGCTCACAGTAAAGAGCCTTTTGGAACACAGTGCCCACCAGCAGTTTCCCCTTGTACACAGAGGCCACCGTGCTGCCTTGCAACACCGTGCCGTTGTCTGCGTAAACCACTGTCACCTTGGGTTCTTCTGTCAAAATATTCTGGATTCGAAGCACCTATCAAAGAAATAACGATGAGTTAACATGTTTTTTGTTTTTTTTTTGAGACAGAGTCTCACTTTGTTGCCCAGGCCAGAGTGAGTGCCGTGTCATCAGCCTAGCTCACAGCAACCTCAAACTCCGGGGCTCCAGTGATCCTGCTGCCTCAGCCTCCCGAGTAGCTGGGACTACAGGCATGCGCCACCATGCCCGGCTAATTTTTTCTATATATATTAGTTGGCCAATTAATTTCTATTTATAGTAGAGACAGGGTCTCGCTCTTGCTCAGGCTGGTTTAGAACTCCTGACCTCGAGCAATCTGCCCACCTCGGCCTCCCAGAGTGCTAGAATTACAGGCGTGAGCCACCGCGCCTGGCCTAACATGTTTTTAAAAGTCACAAAAGACAACTTCAAGCATAGGGTCCTTTCTCCATGAGAAGCCATATTATCTCATGTAATCAGATAAATGATATTTTGATCCCAAAGTACATTGAACACACCTGTTTCCTCATTTGTGGATTGATAGGGTCTGACGTTGTGATCATCAACAGAGATAGCACACAGACCTACAAGGGCTGGGTAGGGAATGTAAGTGGGACTATAGTCAAGGCAGACGGGAAGCTGTCACTCAGCAACAGCCAAATTGATGCCATGTTGTAATCCAAGTCGGTTTCTGTGTATTTTCAGATAAACCAGGAATTTGGATGTTTACAGTTAATTCCTGGTTTTTAAATGCAAGTAATCAAAGAAAAAAAAGTATGGACCCTCAAAATCCCATCTCTCTGCACCACACTTGTCCACTCTTCTGAACTTAAGGTCTCTAAATGTATAAGATTTTATGAGTTTATCAGCTTCCTTCACTTAGTTGAGAAATTTGATTGTATCATTAGCAACAGTGTAGGATCATGGTAAGCTGATCATAAGAAATAGCCAATATTTAATCATTCTGACTGACAAAAAAAATAGCAATTTCATATGATTCAATCTAATATAAGGAGCACGACACTGAACTGAGGCAGGAGAACTGAGTCCCAACTTGGATCTTCCACTTAACTGTTTGTTTCTCACCTGTAGAATGAGACGAGTGGGACTAGATTATCTCCAGATTCCCTCTGAACTCTAACTTTCTATTGCTAAGCCTTTAGAATAAAATACAATGACTTGAAAACAGGATACCTACATCACAAAAACACCACATGTGGCAGAATAGGAAGGCCAGCACGTGGATATAAAAGGGTCAATGGGAACATTCAAAATGAACACTCCTACACCACTGGTGGGACTGCAAACTAGTGCCACCTCTGTGGAAAGTACTATGGAGATACCTCAGAGAGCTACAAATAGAACTACCATATGATCCGGCAATCCCACTACTGGGCATCTACCCAATAGAACAAAAGACATTCTATAAAAAAGACATCTGCACTAGAATGTTTATAGCAGCAAAATTCACAATTGAAAATATGTGGAAAAAACCCAAGTGCCCATCAATACATGAGTGGATTATTAAAATGTAGTACATGTGTACCACAGAGTTCTACTCAGCCACAAAAAGTAATGGTGATATAGCACCTCTTGTATTTCCTGGAAAGAGCTGGAATCCATTCTACTAAGTGAAGTCTCCCAAGAATGGAAAAACAAGCACCACATGTACTCACCATCAAATTGGTTTTAACAGATCAACACTTAAGTGCACATATAGTAATAACTGTCATCAGGTGTCAGGCAGATGGGGGAGGAGGGAATGGATATATATACACCTAATGGATGCCCTGCGCACCATCTAGGGGATGGACGTGCTTGAAGCTCTAACTTGGGTGGGACAAGGGCAATATACATAACCTAAACATTTGTACCCCCATAATATGCTGAAATTAAAAAAAATGACCTCTTTAAAAACAGCTGGTACCAAAGACAGATGTCTTAGGAAATTGCCATAGCATTAACATGTAGTAGTTACTTATAGGGAAATAGTTGATGATGCACCTTGGCTTAACTAAGCTTCTTGTTAATAAAACTAAATCACTTTTCTATGGGGCAGAACATTAGATAATGAATTGTTACCACTTTTTGCTATTCCTTAGCAGATCCATTATTAGAAAGAAGTATTTTTTTTTCCACAACAACAAACCAAGTTCATGCTATAGCCAATGATCCAAGTTCACCAAATGAGCTAACAAGGAAGAACAAATTAGAATCTAACAGTCTGCTCAGTTCTAACAGTGCATGCTCCACAGCATACATGTCTTCAATTCTATTAAACATACCATGCAGCAATCCTAATAGTGAAAAACTAGCAAAAAGCATAAAGGATTGTCATTACAAATGATCACAATTGTTCCTGTAAGGCTAGAGATAAAATGTATGAGAACCATAATATAATTGGAAATATGTATTTGATTTTTTTAATGCAAAAGATATGGGCTTTTTTTCTGTTGAGTGGGTGAGACTGACTCTTAAAACTAAGCTTTAAAAATACAGCAGTAGACAAATATGTCAAAATGATACCATGTATGTGATGTAAATAAAAAGCCTAATTAGTACATACTGAAAACTCAAACTAGAAAACACCCCATAAGTCATAGTAAATTTTCAAATGCCTATAGCAAAGCAGGTTTCAAGACATCTGCACTTGAATGTTTATAGCAGCACAATTCACGATTGCAAAGATGTGGAAACAACTCAAATGCCCATCAATACATGAGTGGATTAATAAAATGTGGTATATGTATACCATGGAGTATACTCAGCCATAAACAAAATGGTGAACTAGCATCTCTTGTATTAACCTGAATGGAACTGGAATACATTCTTCTAAGTGAAGTATCACAAGAATGGAAAAACAAACACCACATGTGCTCACCATTAAATTGGAACTAATAGAGCAACACTAATGTGCACATATGGGAAATAACATTGATCAGAAATCAAGCAGGTGGAAGGGGGGAGGCAGGAATAGGTAAATTCACACCTAATGGGTACAATGCACACTAGCTGGGGGATGGGCACACTTACAAATTTGACTTAAATGGTACAAAAGCAGTTTATATAACCAAAATGTTTGTACCCCTGTAATAGTCTGAAATAATAAAATAAAAAGAAAGAAAACCAAATCCATACTTGCAGTGCCACAATGGTTCACTGAATAAAGACCATGGACCAAAAATGGGGTCTTTGAGTACTATGACTAAGATGGAAGGAGAGATCTTCTAAGCCAAAATAATCCCAGCAAGTAATTTATCTCCTCATTCTGCAGGGAAGGTCTAGAGAAGCTAGACCCACATACCTACATCACAAAATGTGCTCTAGCAGACTGCTCCATTACACCAATATGTCCGTATATGGACACACAGGAAGTGGAAGTTGAACAGAAAGCCAGGTAACACACAAATGATTAAACCATAGCAGTGAGGCATATGTTTCTTAAACTGGTGTGGATTCCCAAGTTAGAGAAACTCACTATTGAAATAAAGATACGGACCCCTGTGCAGTGCTGGGTCTCCTCACCCTGGCCCTCCAGGCCTGCTCTCCACTCTGCTGACCGGGACAGAAGCCTCCTTCCAAGGGGCTCCCTGGGCTCTCTGCTGCCAGCAGGAGCAGCAGCAAGGAATGGGAAGACGGAGAGGGAGGTGGGGTATTCACTCTCCAGGCTTCCCCCCTATGAGGTTGCTGCTAGTTGGCTACATCTCTCACCCAGAGGCCAGGTTCCTCTCAGACAACCCTTTCCACACCGCTGTCTCCTTGTTCTGGCTTGTGGTAGCCATTTCCTGCCCCCCTTTGCCAGCCCTGGGTACTGCATTATCCTCTGTTGCTTCCCCTACACTCTGCCCATATCTTTGCACAGAATCCCTCTATTAAACTCCCCTCCAACTACCTGTTTAAATGTGCCATATGTTTCCTGCCTAGACTCTGACCAAAACACCTCCAGAAGCCCTTTTTATCCTGATCATGTGGACTATCTATCCATGTCTCCCTTTAATTTGCACATATAATTGAGAATTATGTTTTCAACTAAAAAGAAATAGTAGCTGGGAATAAAGTCACTGATCAAGTTCATTTTCCAAACTAACCTCAGAGGCAGGAGGATTCTCTGGGTCGTAATAGAAGATTCTCATGCCATTGGGATGGCATCCAACCCAAAGGTCCCCTGTCACTGGATCCACGGATATGTTATCCACCAGAGTGTCAAAGTTGAGGGACTTCCAAGATTAAAAACAAGGAGAGAACAAAAGACAGAAAGTTAAACACAATTGCAGTGGAGCAATATGTCAGACAAAAACTATCGTGTAGTCCTTGGTCACCACACTGCTATTTCCTGGGACACAACAATTCTGTCCCATTTCAATACGGCTCAAAAGATTCCTGTGGCCTTCCACCTACGCTAGCATTTTGTCAGTTTCCAGTGCAGATGGGGTAGGATGAAGATACAGAAAGCCAAAAAAGACTGATAAAAGTCAGATTAAATCATCTGGACTCCCATCTGTGCATGAACCTAAAACTGAAAAAGAAAAGTTTTAAGTGTGGCATAAAACAGTTCCTTCTAAAATGGCATGTGCAAATGATATTTTTATAAGCATTCAAAAAACAGCCAGGAAATGTGGATTCATCTCTGATGAGAACATCAATGAATGTGGGCTCTTTTTGTGTGGCTAATCATAGGCTGTGCAGCCCTAGAGAAGAAATGATCACCCGGGGTCTAATTTTTGCCTTGGAGTTGACAAAAGTTTGTTCTTTAGTTTCCTGATGTTATTTAACTCCCGGTTCTTGTGCTGTTTATTCTCTAAATATAAGTTGCAGGCGTGTGATGACTGCACAGATTGCTGTCGAGGCTTTGTAGCAGGATCGTAAATAATACCAATGATTCTTAATTTCACCATTCATCATCTTGGCTGCCCGTCTACCGGGGAGAAATCCCATCTATTTGTTCACCTCTAACTCTCAGCCGGAGAAACAATATCCACCAGGTACCTCAGTGCCCAGAGAGCCTGTAAATAACTGGCGGTGACTCACCGCAAAGGCCAGAGCGTGGGCGGGCAGCTGCAGCGAGGGACGCTGCCCCGCGCTTCCTACTGAAAATGAGAGCTGGCCTCGCAGGCCCACGGAGGGATTAGAGGGCTCAAGCATCAAGGCAGGGCCTCATCTCACCTTCCTGCGGAGCCATCACTCCTTCTTGCCCTGGAAAGAGGCGAGGCAGCCGGAGGAGGCCGCTGAGCACGCACCCCCTGGTCAAAATCAGCTCCAGGCTCCCTCCGTCCCCTCCCCGCCCCCCGCCCGCATCCATCCCAGATTCAGCACGCTGCTCTGATACATTCATTTCTTTAAATGAGGAACATGTTTGTCTCAGCGCTCCGCTATTATCTTTGGAAAGGGTACAGCCATAGAGGATGAAACCTACTGAGCTGACAGTCGGCGGGGTGGGAGAGGGACACGGAAGCCTGGGGTCCCATCAGTTGAACACGCAATTACGTGTGCTCTGCAAGAGCTCAGCACCTAGAGAGCGCGAGGCTCGGCAGGCATGGTCCCTGCCGGGGAAGAGCTGCCGGTCCAGCAGGGAGCCTGTTCTGAGTCCAGAAATCAACTCTTGCCTTGCAAATAAGTAATTCCTAGCCACGCTGACTCACTGCAAGACACGTGTATATCACATCTCACCCTCCCACGGATCCAAGTGGAAAATTTTATATTCCTTAAGCAGGTCAACTTAATAAATTATTCTTTTTGAGAAAAATTATATTCTCTGTTAACAAATATCCATTTTTTTTTTTTTTTTAAGAATTGAAGTTCATAGAAGTGTGGCTAATTTATTAACTAAGTCTTGGGATCTTTTCTGGAAGGAGGACAATTTTTTTGTGTGTGTGTGGTAAAATATATATATAACATAAAATTTGCTATTTAACCGTTTTTAAGTGTACAACTCAGTGACATTAAGCACATGCACAATGTGGTGCCACCATCAGCACTATCTCTCTCCAGAACTTTTAATCATCCCAAGCATAAACCCTACACTCATTAAACAATAAATCCCTATTCCTCTTCCCCTGAGTCCCTGGTAACCACCATTTCTATTTTCTGTTCCTATAACTTTATTTGCCTATTGTAGGTTCTTCATGTAAGTGGAATCATGCAATATTTTTATTTTTGTGTCTGGCTTATTTCACTTGGCACAATGTTTTTGAGGTTCGTCCATGTTGTAGCATATATCAGAACTTCATTCCTTTTTAAGGCTGAAAAATATTCCATTCTATGTTTATACCATATTTTGGCAGAACATAAACCCATCCATATCTTATCACAAATTTTAAGATTAGCCTCAGCTACTTCATCAAATTACTTGGCACTCCCAGGAGTTAATTAAGTGGTATTAGTTCATACTATCCTTCAAAAGAAAAGAATAAAATTCTAGTTGAGAAGTAGCCTCTACGGAGTCGTTATGACCGGGGACAGGCACGATCTGTTGCCAGGGCTGGGCCCCACACCTGAAATTAGCCTCGCCTTCCAATCTTGCCTTGGTGGGAGCAGAGCCCCAGCTTTCTGTCCTGAATGTATATTGAGCCTGGTTCTATTCTCACAAAATTCTTCAACTTTCAATTTACAGAAAAGTACCTCTTGTTAAAACCTCTTGTTTTTATTCCCTCAGCCAGTATGAGTGTGTGAAATTCCATTTTACTTCAGCTAATACCAAACTCCCTGCCAATGATTTTTAATGTCAAACACGATGTTACATTTGATGTTGCTTCAAGATAATTTTCTCTGAGTGGAGCCCCTCATGACAGTAGCTCGGGTGTGCTGATGGGAACAGTCATTCAATTGGGAGGGACAGTGCTTCCTGCTGTGGGCGGGGATGGCAGGAGAGCAATGTCTCATTGTTTTTCCCCGGTGGGGGGCTGCTTTCATTATGTTCCACTTTGTTCTTAGTCTCTCTTCCCCCGTCCTTTGTGTTTTTAACTCAAACCTTCAGACTGGACGGGAACTTGTGGGGGAAGAAGAGGAACGCCTGAAGCACGCTCAAGCCCACCACATTAATTTAACAAGTATTTGTCTAGAGTGCCGACTAGCTGTTGAGAACTGTTCCAAGAACGAATAAAAAAAACTTTGTCCTTGTGGAGCTTACAACCTAGCAAGAGAGTCAGATAATAATGATGGAAAGTAAAATGTATAGTATGTTGGTAACAGATGCTGAAAGGGAAAATAAAGCCATAAAGGAGACAGGAAATATGTGGAGTAGGGGAGCAGAGTTGCGAATTGAGATTAGGTGGTGAGGGAAGGCATCGCTGAGGTGGCATTTTAGTAAAAACTGGAAGGAGATGAAGGAGAGTGCCACGGAGATCTGGAGGAAAATTCCAGAAGGGGGAACAGTGCCCTGTCCCCAGGCAGGGCCCTGCCTGGGGAGCTCCAGGAATACCCAGAGGCAGCAGAGGCAGGGCAGGGCACAATGGCTGGAGAAAAAGGCAGAGGAGTGGTGGGTTGCCAGATACCACAGCAGCCCCCCTGAGCACATGGGCTTTATAAGTATTGTGGAGAGCAGTTCTGTATTAAATACATGATGAGACTATTTCTTGGCTCTTCCATCAACACAGAAAAAGAGAGAGAGAAAAAGGAAGGAGGAAAGGTGGAAGAGGGGAAGGATAAAAGGGAGGAAGATAGGGAGGAAGAGGGGAAGGAACTGGAAACACATCACCAAGTTTAAAATTGAATAGAGCAGAAAAAATCAAAGTTTCATAGGTGAAATGTGTGGTTTGCTGTTTACTTTTCAGTTGAGTCAAAGTGAACAGCAACACCAGGCTGATGACTCTTAATAAAGCAGTGAAAAATTAGTTCTCACCCACTCCAATTAGACAATCCTTTTCTCCTCACATTTAATTTCACAAATCAATTAGAATCTAATTATCACTCTGCAAACTTATAGTGTTAATACATCTTACCTTCAATGGAGTTAAAGTCCAATTAGCATGCTTTTCATACACATGAATCTTATGAGCCAGCAATTCAGCTATATAGACATACCTTCAAAGAAGAAAGAGCTACATCAAAGTACTTGAAGTAATGCAATTCAAAAGGTTACAATGAAGTTGTAATAACTCTTCCCAGGGAAGAACTTTGCTTAGGGACTGGGAAATGGAACCCATCTCAAAGTACACTAAATTCTGAAAGAATTCAGTGAGTTTACAGTGCACAAAGGGGTTTAATTTCTGAAAAGTAATTTCTGAAGGTGGGAACCTAGTTATCCCTGATCAGTATGGAAGTATGTGTGCAACATTACACACTATAAAGATCTGTGGGTAGTCTAAGCACTGTGCATCCCAGAAGAAAAAGAGAAACTACTGCTTAATTATCTCTTCTTTTTGAAGACCAGGTGATCATATGAATAGTTGAAAGCTGTTCATGTTGCTTTTTCTAAATATATGTTACTCTCTGAAGTCCTTGATGACACTAGACAAGGAAGTGTATAAATAGATGAATAAACAGATTTATATATACATTAATGCCACCCAAAGTGCAGTCCCCAAACCAGTGCTGGTCCATAAGTTGTTTGTCATAGGGCCATTCCTAAATAATATCACAAATCAACTGCATCACTAAGCACACTGCTTAGTTAAGCTGACTTTTTATTTCATAGTAAGACTTTCTGGACAAAGGAAGCAGTGCCTTGATCTACATTTTGGGGCAAGCTTGTCAGAAATCAGCACTATTGGTATATACACCTGCATGTTATTAATCTCATTATACACTCAAAAATCCTCCCTCCAAATAAAGCTCCTTAATAATACTAAATCTTTATCACAGCTACGCCTCTTGAAATATGCTTTTTTTCCCAAAAAAAAGAAAATGAAACTACTATGCCTTCACAAAATAAAAATTTTTGATTTGATAATTTTTACCCCCTGAAAAATTAAGATATTTTACATTTTTTTTTTGCTAATTTCATCTCACTAGGATAACATGTTAAAATGTATAACATCAATTAGAAAAGGAATGTGTTCCTAAAGATATCTCATGAGAATCTGAGTAAATCCATTACATTTTAAAGAGTTTCCATACTTGCCATCAGGCGAAACGCTGATCCCATTAGCAAAATCAAATCCTTCTGCCACCACTCTAGTTTCATTTGGAGTATAGTAAACAACATACGACCACGATAAACCCAAATATAACTCCCAGGAGCGTAAGTAGGGGTGGACAAAATAGTGATCGTTTGTGGCGTAAAAGTGCTCAGGTCCCACGGCGACAATATCATTCACACTGCAATTAAAACACACACGCATAATATATACAGGTGAAGGCATCGAACATGATAGGATTATGAATTACCATCATGACTGTCTATTCCTAAAATCAAGAAATGGAGTGGAGCCTTCACACTGGCTGTAGTGGCACAGAATTAATATGACATCAGTGCTACCTCCACAACCCTCAAAGACAATAACTGGTCTAAGAAATCCTAAGAGGTGATTCTAGCACTGTAACATAAAAATCCTATGAGCTGGCTCTTAAAAATAGTGTTATGGGGTGTGCGCGCGCGCGTGTGTGTGTGTGTGTGTGTGTGTGTGTGTGTGTGTAGATATAATAAATTCAGTGGGCATTAAATTGGGGCAGAAATCATTAGGGCAAAATGTATCTGTGCTCACATAGAACTGACTCCCCATCAGTCCCAGGCATCATAAGGCAACGGAAAAAACCCTGAACGGGCAGCCTGGAGCCTTGTATTTTAGTTAAAGCTCTGCTACTATTAGCTGTGTGATCGAGGGAAAATCAATCCTTTCACGTGTCAGGGTCTCAGTTTCCTTATCTGTGAAAGGAGGATGATGGACTGGTCTATCTTCCGGACTTAAGGTTTTGTGATTCTAAATGGAATAAAATGTCCAGGAACAAGAGTGCTGAGAAACAGGATGATACGGCTTTTTTTTTTTCCCTCCTGATTAGGATTCTCTCTCTGTTACTGAAAAATGTTAAGATATATGAGCCTATTTTTCTGCTTTAATAGGTACAATAGTGAACACATAAGTGAGTCATTCTTTGCTGATTGAGGTGACGGAAGTTCCCCAGGGCCATGGGCTCGGAGAAAATGATCTCTGTTCTATTGCAGAGGGCGTAATGGCCAGCGCTTCAGCTCTGACTCAGTTCTGAGCTTGTGGGCAAGTTAGACAAGCGTGCAGAGCCTCAGTTTTCTCGCCTGTAAAAAGAGGTTAAATAATTTTCTCAAAGTCATATCGCTCGTTAGTGGAAGACTAAGGGTCAGAATCTTCATTTGTGGATTTGCAGTGGGAATGACAATGAGACGATGCCTGGTGTGTGCTGTGCAGGGAGCCTGCCACTCGATAAATCCTCAATCAATGGTAGTCACTCTTACGCTGTGAAAAAAAGGTCTAGGAATTTAGGATTAGTCTGGACAGACGCCAGACATAAATCTGCAAGTTGGCTTTACTATCTCTTTTTTGAAACAAAATTTCTGAAATTAGTATACATCACTGTCATTTGTCTGTTTTTCATAGAAAGGAGCAGCATGGAATGGTTTAGAGTAATAGCTTTGAAATCTGATGGACTCCATTTGAATCTTGACACTGCTTCCTGTCGTCACAACGTGGGGCCACAGCATGTCATTAAACTTTGAACCACTTCTCTGAACCTCAGTTTTCTCCCTATACCTTGAAAGGCTGGGGTAAGAATAAAAAGGAATAATTAACGTAAAGGCCTTGGCACCATGCCTAGCATACAGTAAATGACCACTAACAATAGTTGTGATATTATTATAATGACAGGCTTCAATTATAACAAATTTAGTAATGGGAATATCAGTGATATTAACAATCATAAAATACAAAGCAAAAAAATTACACATGGCTAATCCTTGGGTTGAGAGAGCAGAATTCTACTTAACTGTGGTGGTTATTTTCAGTCTTATTCTATGCTGCCAAAGACCAATATTTTTGCAACTGGCCCAGGAAAAAAATCCTCCAACCCCAGGAAATTGGACAAACCTGAGAATTTCCAAGATTAAATGGTAAAGCAAAATAAGTTTCACTATTTTGTAGTGGTATGGAGCACCAGCTCTGGACTCAAGCTACCGGGATTAAGATCCTAACCATACCATTTACTGAGGGGGTCACCTGGGCCAATTTAATAAATCTCCAATCTCAAATTTTTTTTAACCTACAATGGATATAATAATAAAACACAATGAAGATGGTATTTGTAAAAAGTCAAGAAAATAATTTGTTTAAATTGGTTAATGCAGCACCTGACTTACAGTGAAAGCTCATGGAGTCCTTATTGTTGCTATTATTATCATTATTATTATCATTCTACATATTTTCTCTACTTTAGATCTTGGTATTCTTTTCATTCTCCATTCAGTGACTTCATTCTCTCCCAAAAATACATTTGTTGAATGAATACATGGGTAAACTCTTCCACCCAAAGCTATTCTCTGAATTTTCACTCATCCTAGGGGTGCAGAAGAAGGACCTGGGCTGTAGTTCCCACTCAGCCTCTAATTAGCTGACCTTTATCACTAATTCAATTTCTCTACAATCTCAGTTTCCTCATCTCCAACCACCAAGTAAGAAAGGAGAGGAAGGAGCACTGATAAGAGTGCACACTCCATGCCAAGAACTTTACTAGGCTCCTGCAAAGAGTATAAATCTGGATTTACAAATATGGAGGCAGTCAAATGCGATACATAAATTATACAAATAGAGGTTGGGATTCTAAAACATCATAATAACTAGGAGGTAAAGATTGTTTTGGAAGACAGTGTCAGGCTGTTGTCCTAAATCTCTCTAAATTCATAAGCCAGCATTCAACCAGCCCGGCAAATGAAGGCAAAGAGAATGGGCCTTCTCTGAAGGGCTTGAGTCCTCAAAATGTTCTGCAGAAGGACATTGGAGGAGTTTGCAATCATTAGAAAGGAAAGTGGAACAGCCATACCCACCCTGGCCAAAAGGAAACACTAAAGCACCAGTGCTATTAAAGGAAAATATTAATAGAAATCTGATATAGTTCAGTACTTAGGCAGAAGTTTGTGTCTGATGGTTTTTAGATGCAAAAGTGATTTTTCTTCTTCTTGAAATTTAAACAACTCTACTGTGGTCTTGAAATCTGGATGGTTCACCACCAGCAGGTACACCACATTATCTGAGAGGAGATTAAAAACAAAAATTGAAACATTAACTGAGCTCTCAGCTGTCAGCCCTCTCTCCAAAAAGTAATTTCAACCCACCTCCAGCTAGTACTTAGGATGTCAGGCAGATGGAATATTTTCCTCTCTTTGTAGAGAGAAGCATTTGTGATTGCTCCTTTTCCAAAGACAAGTGGCTCAAGGAAGAACCAGTGACAGTCTCTAAAAACTCGAAACTCCACTGGGGGAGAAAAAAACCCTCAACTTAAGAATGAGCATCACTGTCACTAAAATTCCAATGAGCTTGTTAAGCTTTCTAGTTGAAATGGTCTCCCAGAAATGCAGAGTTGAGATAAAAAGGTTAAAAGATGTGGGAACTCCCAATAGGAGAAGTTGTGCTCAGGCATAATTTATACTGTGTAAGATGATAAATTCCATAAGAAGAACATCTGAAAGGTAGTAGTGAATAGAAGCAGCTTCTGTGAGTCAGTGGGATTTGGGGACAGGAAGTAGACTAGTATAAGTGGTCAAGAAGGTGTGATCAGAGTTGGTGAGTAAAGTTAGACTATGGTCTTTGACTTAAGAAGCAGGAAGTCTTTGGAAATCACTAACAGATCAAATTAGTATTTAAAGGAAATGATGCAAAGCTTAGCAGGTTGAACTGAGAAATATGAACAGAAAAGCCAGCTGAGATGCTTTTCATTAACCCATTCAACAAACCAGTATTTATTCTAGTTGGTGTTAAACACTACAAAGAAAAAATACAAGATATATAGAGTAATGAGATGTTTTCTTCATGGAAGTCATGGATGTTCTCTCTGATGAGGGGGTGTTAGAGCAAAGATCTATATGAAATAAGAGAGCAAACTATGTGGCAATCTGGGGAAAGAGCATTCCAGGCTGAGGGAAGAAGTCATGCAAAGGCCCTGGGGCAGAGCTTCATGGACAATTCACTTAACAGTGAAGTTGTGTTTGGAGCAGAGTGAAGGAAGGAAAGAGTGAAAGAGTGGGAGGGCAGAAGGCATAGGGAGCCAGAGTCAGTCTCACTAGGGTTTAGGGTGAGGATCCCGGGTTTGCTAACTGGAGGCTTTGAGTCAAGGAATAACATGTCCTGAGACTACATCAGTAATCTGGGCATGTAGGGAGAGGGAACTGGACCAGGAGGTGCCACTGGAAAAAAAAAATAGCAGGAAAGGACATGACAGGAATTTGACAGGAAGAATCAAAATACTTTGATGATGGCTGAAAAATGAGAGACTCGGAAATCAAATACAAGTGAGGGTTAAAACCCGGATTCATATTTTGCATGTTAGATTCTACTTCTAGAAATTTATCCCAAGAAAATAGTTACAGAAGATACATGTACAAGAATGTTCATTTTGGCATTGTTTGCAATGAGCCTAATGACAGCAACAACTTAAATATCCATGAGCAGAGGAACTCTATTCTGCATTGTAAAGTAGCGCCAAACACGCTGTCAGAGAAAGAAGTCCCTGATGTAGTGTTTAATGCAAAAGCAATTTATAGAAGGAGTTGTATGACATCACCCCATTTTTATTTAAAAAACACACACACCCCCAACACTATATTTCTTTGCACTTAAAAATATTTAAAAAATAAAATATAACAGTGATGAATGGGTGCATGGATGGAGAGACCATTACAAAAGATATATAAAAGTCACATGGGGGAAGATAAAAGGGTGGAAAATCATTTTTCAACATTTTGCATTTAAAGTGGCTATAGGAGAGGAACCCAGATAGAAGTATCTGTTATAGTTAGCACCTCCAGGAATGGAAGTGAAGGGCTAATGAAAAAAATAATAATTATACCCCACATTTGGGGATGTTCTCCTAGAAAGCAGGCACCATGACATTGGTTTGAAATTTCTGAAATAGGGAAAATAAAGAGAAAGTAAAACACAGAACCTCTGGGGGCATGCTCAGAGAATTGGCAATGAGTGACAAAACAAAGAATGGCGGAGAAAACCTGCAGCAGGATCTGAAGCAGGACAGATAAGCATGTTGGAATATCAGGGAAGAGCCAGTTTTGTGAAGGAGAAAATGAGGTGCAGGGAGGAAGGAAGGAGAGGAAGGAAAGGAAGAGAGAGAGAGAGGGGGTCTATTAATAAAGACATCACTGATGATTTTCAAGGCAGCAATTTTAGCTACTCACATGGGGAAAGTCCAAAAGAAGGACTGAATGAGGGGTTGTCTGATGACGCAATGCAGGCAACAGGTGTAGGCACGGTTCTTAACCCCAGCCTTACATTTTTATCACCTGTACAACTTTTTTTTTTTTTTGAGACAGAGTCTCACTTTGTTGTCCAGGCTAGAGTGAGTGCCGTGGCGTCAGCCTAGCTCACAGCAACCTCAAACTCCTGGGCTTGAGTGATCCTTCTGCCTCAGCCTCCCGAGTAGCTGGGACTACAGGCATGCGCCACCATGGCCCGGCTTTTTTTTTTTATATATTATATATCAGTTGGCCAATTAAATTCTTTCTATTTATAGTAGAGACGCGGGTCTCGTTCTTGCTCAGGCTGGTTTTGAACTCCTGACCTTGAGCAATCCGCCCGCCTCGGCTCCCAAGAGCTAGGATTACAGGCGTGAGCCACAGCGCCCGGCCACCTGTACAACTTTTAACAAGCAATACCACCAGGCCCTCCTCAGACCAACTGAATCAGAATCTTTGGGGCTGAGGCCATTCCTTGAGTCTTTTTTAAATCCCCAGGTGCTACTGTGTGCAACAGGGGCTGAAAATTAACACAGCAAACAAAGAAATGACAGCAATAGAAGGGAAGAAGTAGGATGAAGGCATAACGGATGGGGACAGCATGCTACGTTGAAAAGTATCACAATGTGGAGAAGCAGTTTGAACACAGAACACAGGGACAGGGAGGCATTGAGGTGATGGGGCCAGGAAAGAGCTGACCATGGAGACTTTCTGTTACTGGATCCATTGGTAGCACATGGCCTTAGGTTAGAAAAATCTCTTCCTATAAATGCCTGAGCCTTTAAAATTGCTTAAAATAGAAAACCTATAATGATTAGGGCTGAATATTATTATTATAGTAATTATAAGGATAAGGTGAATGCTGGTATTTTACAAAATTAGGTGCTTTACAAATCTTAAATATTTTAGTATTCTCAAGTATTTAAGCAGTTTTAATATTATATTTAATTAACATAGGGGGTAAGTTTAAAACCCAGAATAAGAACATTATTCATGATTATGCTTTGGTTGGATGAGAAAAAAAAATTAATTCATTGGCATGCTTTTTTCTGGTTTTTTTTTTTTTTTAATTTGCTTTTGTTTAAATAGTAAACGCTGTTACCTTCATCTGTAAATGTGCTAATCCCATGAGGATTAAATGAAGCTAAATCAAAGTTACTTCCAGTGATCTCCAATTCCAACACTGTTGGATGTTTTTCATTCAAGTCCATCAGAAGTATTGTTCCAGGCTTATCAGGTTCAAAACTCTTTATTCCAGGATATTTTAATCCCTTATAAAACATGAAGGAGAAAAACCAGGCACATTACAAATATTTCAAATGCTGACGGAGGTGGTGGATAGTACATGGGTTTACACTGTCTGCTCTGAACCACAGGACTGGCCACAGGGCCACATGGGAAGCCTCTTAACTGGCTTGTGCAATAGGTCCCCGAGGGACTCTGGAAGCTATCCCCTGTAGCAAAGTCATGTATGAACCATGCCACAACTTCCAAACCTCTGACAAAGATAAAAAATGGAAGAGCTGGCTGGGCACAGTGGCTCATGCCTGCAGTCCTAGGACTCTGGAAGGCCAAGGAGGGAGGATCCCTTGAGCTCAGGAGTTCAAGACCAGCCTAAGCAAGAGCAAGACAATTTTAAATTAAAGGGTTTATTTAAAAGTATAAAAAAAGATAACAATGGAAATGACTTGTAAGGGAATCTACATAAACATACACTTCATTCAGCAAATATTTGAGTACAACTGTCTATCAAGGGATAGACAATTGAAGGGGAAACCATTCTTAAATGTATTGAGCTCACAGATGAATTGCTGCGATGGAAGCTAAGGTCATGTAAGAAGTTCAGTGTAGACACAAGAACACAGATATGCATAGAACACATATGATCATAATTATAACACTAGTGCAAATGTAGATACAGTTTGTCTTTTGAACCATATAGCTGCTCATTTCATTTTGAAGATGGGCATTGGTATACAGATGGCTTAAGTGAGAGACTTAAAACTGCCAGTCCTAGAAAACCTTCTAAAACACAGTAAGTGAAAGAAAACACTCACAGAGCTAATGAAAGCCAGTCCATTAGTCAGTATCTCCAAGTCTTCAGAGCCACGATCTGCCAGAAAAGAGAATAGACAGTACAGATTGTTTCATATTAATATATTGCAGTAAGCTGATGATCCATTTCTTCATCACTCCTCACTTGAAAGGGGGACTATATATATTAGCTCTTCTTTGATAGGGTCAGAATAGACATTTTCCCATTTGTTTATTTGAATTGATGAATATGATTTTATGGAAATTAAAACATTAATATCATTAGGTGTAATTAAAATTTACACTTAATGTATTTGTTTTAAATTGATGGACTAGAACTTTATCCTCAGAGCCAGAATCCTCTTATATAAAGTTCATGAAAATTCAACAAAATGTACAAAAGATATGATTATTTGAAAATCTTGCTGTTTTTCTAAAGAGTTAGAATAAACTACAAATATATATTGATATATAATACTTCCAAACCAATTAAGACCTTTGAAAACTATATCAGAAATATAAGCAAATTCCAAATGCTTGATTTAAAATGGGGATACATTTTGATGATCAAGAACATGACTTTATTATTAATTATAAATATCAGTGAAATATCACTATCCTTGTTATTATGTAAGTTATACTTTAAGTGTATGTAAATTTTTAAAATTACAATTAATCTAGAGACAAATGAACTGATTTTATATTTATATTCTTAGTGGAGATGTATGTTTTTCAAATACCCAGTGATATTTGATATCAATATCATATTTTTCTAGAAAAAATATTGTACCATAAGATACCTAAGCAAGTGTAACATTAACTAAGTCTTCTGGTCTAGCCTTCTGAACCTTAGTCAACTGAGATAAATTATTCTAAAAAAATAAAAATAAAAACAAAAATGAAAAACCCTCAAAATATAACAAAAGCATGGAGCTCAAATAAGTTGTCCTCAAATAACAAAGCTGGTTGGTTTAAACCAGATGGGGAGTTGAGCTCTGGGATACTCCTTGTTGAGGGTCTAGAAGCTGTGAGTCCCCTGCCCTTTTAGCTTGGCTGACAGGGCTAATCTCCCAAGATGGAGGCCCAATAATTACTTTCCCAGCTTCCTTTGCAGCTAGGGCAGCAGCCTGTCCTCCAGCTCTGACTAATGAGATCTAAGGGGAAATCTGCTGAGAGTTTCTGGGAAAAATTTTTCCTTTCTGATATTAAAAGAGAGATGCATGAAGAGAAGCCTTGTGGTCATTACAAAGACCTGTGAGAGCTTTTTTTCAAAGAAAACCTTTATCCTTTACTGATTGCTTTATGTCTCATTTCCTTCCATCTCCTGCCATTTCCTTAGGTTAGATTACTATGAAATCAAACATTATTCTATTATTTTTGCTCTATTGACCAAACAAAAATAAACAATTAAACCCCCCAACACCTTGGCAATATGTTGATGAAGTTGAACGTCAAACAACATGGTATTTGTAATTAACTACTGACTCTGTAATAAATACCCTCCCAAGTTTAAAGTTTTATTTTTGGACAAAGTTAAACAGGTACATTAATCAAGTAAATAGCAAGATAATATGGCAAATTCAAATGAGACGTTTCTTCCTTTCACATACATACCAATGCCTTTAACTAAATTACAGTTAGGAAGTTCCACTGGTTTTACTTCTCGGAAAGCATTAAATCGTGTTCTGTGGGAGAGAAAGAAATAAAACGTACATAAAACTGTTCAGAAATTATAATTAAGTTGCAAAGGTAAGCAGCCCACAAAAGTTCTCCTTGATTGTACTTTGTTCAACCCGAGTTAGTGGTTCCTGGCACCTACAATTCTACCAGGCGAGGCCAGAGCAAGACAAGTGGGGTCCTCTGGGCACAATTAGTATTTATTTAGTGGAGGTGGATCGACACACAAAAAGGATACAAAATGTTCAGTCCAGCGCTCTGTGCACTTTGGCAGGAGCAGGAACTATTTCATCATTTGTGGAAGGACTCCTATGTGGAAAGTTGGGTAAAATGACAATATGGTTTCAGTTTATTTCATTGATGTTTTAGGGTTGCTAACAGATGGGCCTCCTACCCATCTGCCCAGTCTGCTTCCACCACCTGGATTGGGCATCTGCTTTTGAATGTAGTACTTGAAAAATGCAGGTATGTTTACAGGATTTGTAACTTCAAAAAATCATACTCCGGGCCCACCTAAAAAAAGGCATTTCACACAAACACACACGCAAATGTGCGCACACACATATGCACGAGCAGCTTACTAAATATGAGTTCGTAATCATCGTGGGGAATGTCTGCATAAAGGACAAAGACAACGTGAACGGATGTGAAGTTCCAGCCTGCTGCCTGCGCAGAGCAAATCTATGGATGAGGCATTTGAAAGAAACAGACCACAACATGAGCACAGCCAAGAGATATAAACATTAACTTTTTTTTTTTTTTCATAACAAGTGATACAATGCAGTCATAGCGAGTTGTGACAATTATCCAAGAATCCCTAGAAATCTTATTTGGCTACAGAAAGGCTGAGAAATTCATAACTTGCCCTACTGATAATTTAGTCTCACAGAAGGAGAAGGCAAATGGACGCTGGAAAATGTTCGTACCAACATGGTAAAAAGTGATAGGAATTTGGGGGCAGTTGGTCTTTCATTCATACATTTAGAGAAAATTTTGTATGTTCCTGCTATCAGGCCCTTGGCTGGCAATTCCACCCTCTAAGAAAGGCTGACATAAGAGGCTAGCAATGGAGTCCAGTGATCTGCTTTGTGAAAGCACCACAGTTTGTCCTGGCGTTCAACCAGAGCAGAGAAGCACCAGTCTGGGCGCTAGAGATACAGATGAATGATTAGGTGAAGGCTTGGCCTACCAGGAGGTTATGGTTCCTTGACTGATAGGACCTTAGAAAGGAGCCTTCGAAGGAAAGTTGGAATCCACCCCGGGACCTGAGAAACTGAAAGTTGTCTCAAAAATGGAAATCTGCTTAAATAAGGGAAGTATGGTTCAGTTTTACAATGTTAATAGCTGCCAGTCTTTCATATTTTTTTTTTTTTTTACAAAGATCACTTGCTGGCTAGCAATGAGATAGGAAACTGGCCTCGAATTCTGATCAAATCTCTCAATATTAGTTAAAAATAATACAAAACAGAAACCAGCCATTAGGGGTTGAAAATTGCACAAATTGAATGTAAATTATAGTATATACAGACTGGTATACACATCATTGAAATGGTTTTGAGAGGATGAAACTCAGTTGAAACGAAATTTCCTCTGTGTTATTCTGATTTTCATTAAAGGAAAAGTGATATGTAATTTACAGATATGAAAAAGGAAGCAAGAAGGCAAAGCTGAGAGAAACAGATGCTACCCACAGGGCAGCGGTGGCATTCGGTTGTTTTGGTCTTTGTGTTAGCAACTCCCACTCTCTGGCAGAGATCCAGTTCCTGCTAGACTCCTTGGTTTCCCTTACAGTCAAGACACCAACAATGGACCCTACTCCTCTAGCAGCAAGTGCCTTTTCATGCCATTGCAACAACATAGCACTGCTATTGTCAGAGGGACTCTCAAAGCCTTTATAAATATACTTCCCTTATTTAAGCAAAATGTGTTTCCAAAACAAGTGATGGGTGAACCCCACTACCAAGCCCCAGCTTTGTTTCTGCTCGCCTCCAGATTATCTATGCTGTGAGTTGAAGTATATTGCTTCCTGTCAGCATCCAGTAATCATGGCCTCTCAATTTCAGGGTTCAGAACAAGAAGGCTTGCTCTATACAAATGTATCTATAAAATGTTTGCTTGTTTGGCATGAACGTCAAAGTTTTGTTCCAAAAATATGGTCCTGTTTGGAGAAACTACTCCAAATCAGAAAGGATGTAGAAACTATGATGTAATTTAAACTCGGGGTAGCCTCTGAATGAAATACTACTTTCTTTAGAAATATAGTAGCTGCCTTAGACATTATGAGGTATACGACTAGTATTTAACACACTATTTAATATGCCCCATGAATGTCTTCAGTGTGCTTCAGGGTAATGTGGATCTCAAAAGATTTGGTTCAGATCCAAAGCAATATACATTCTGTGTTTTAGCTCAGTGTTTTTTTTAAAAAAAGAAAATGCCACACAGCAAAAAATTGTTTACTTTGCTGGACAAACCAAATCAGTTCTCAAATAATGACCGGTGCTTATAAAAAGTTGTTATTATACAGTAGCTCCAAAACAAACCATCTAACCAAGAGGGAAATCAGCCTGTTCTTAGTATTTACATTGGACACCAGTTTCATAATCACTGACTCATGTGAAAATTGGTGCAGAAATTCTATAAACTCTTTGCTGTTTTTGATACCTGCTTTTTGTTCTGTTTTGTTTTGCAAAAATGATGAACTTTGGAAAATAAAATGTCAGTGTTGAATTAAAAAAATGGAAATCTGCCATTATAATCACAAAAGTTCACAGTAAAGAAATAAAAGGAGAAGTGATAGAGCAGTGGCTTACAAACTGTTCAGACTGAGTTCACATTAGGAAAAGCATTTTGCATGGTACACACCATGTACACATGTACACATACACATACACATCTGAAACAAGGTTCACAAAACATTACCCACCCTCATCCAGGTGATATATGTTTAATTTTTCTATTCAATTCTGTTCATTTTATTTTATTTTATTTATTTATTTTTAAGACAGAGTCTCACTTTGTTGCCCAGGCTAGAGTGAGTGCTATGGCATCAGCCTAGCTCACAGCAACCTCAAACTCCTGGGCTCCAGCGATCCTACTGCCTCAGCCTCCCGAGTAGCTGGGACTACAGGCATGCACCACCATGCCCAGCTAATTTTTTCTATATATATTAGTTGGCCAATTAATTTCTTTCTATTTATAATAGAGACAGGGTCTCATTCTTGCTCAGGCTGGTTTCGAACTCCTGACCTTGAGCTATCCGCCCACCTTGGCCTCCCAGAGTGCTAAAATTACAGGCGTAAGCCACCGTGCCCAGCCTGTTCCATTTATTTTAAAATATTGGTAATGATCTACTAAATTGATTTTGTTACCCACCATTTTGAAAAAATCCAGTCTAGGGGAAGTATGGTGAGTATTCATAGAATGCCCCAAGGGACTCAAAGGATAGGTATAAGATGTTAAGGGTGAAGGTCATAACCAAGGACAATGCAAAGAGTGGCATGGAAGACATTCAAGGATGTGACATTGCTGAATGGGCCAAGATTTGTGAAAAGCACCAAGGATAGTCAAGTTAGCTTTTCTTAGACTCAAAACCACATGGGAAGAATGAGGTTCATTAAATGTGATGGGTTCACAGAGGTTCACAGGGTTCATTAAATGTGATGGGTTCATAGAGGACAGAGAAAGGCAGAGCTGTTTGGCTCCTATTCTAATTCAGGCTCCTCTCTCCTGGAAAATGAACTCTAACCTGGAAAAGGTAGAATAATCACAGTTAAAGGGAGCCCAGGGTAAGCAAGGAGGCATTAAGTCAGCACCCAGTTGCTTTGGATTCCAATTTGTGGCCCAAACAAGTCATATCTCAACAGGATAATCATTGCTACTACAGTTCATGTACTGTATATATCCTCGTTTAATCCTCGAACACCTCCCTGAGGTGTTATTTTCCCTCTTTTACAGAGGACTAAGATTAAGTAGCTTTCCAAAACCACAAAATTATGAAATGGCTGAGCTGGGATTAGAGCTCAAGCATGAATGCGAAGCTTGAATTCAGTCCTCTAACCAGGCAAAATATACAGATAACACTGCTTACAAGCTGGAAGAAGGCCGGGTGCAGTGGCTCTCACCTGTAATCCTAGCACACTGGGAGGCTGAGGTGGGTGGATCATTTGAGCTCAGGAGTTCGAGGCCAGCCTGAGCAAGAGGGAGACCCCATCTGTACTAAAAATAGAAAGAAACTAGCTGGACAGCTAAAAATATATAGAAAAAATTAGCTGGGCATGGTGGTGCATGCTTGTAGTCCCAGCTATTTGGGAGGCTGAGGCAAGAGGATCGCTTGAGCTCAGGAGTTTGAGGTTGCTATGAGATAGGCTGATGCCACAGCGCTCTAGCCTGGGTAACAGAGTGAGACTCTGTCTCAAAAAAAAAAAAATGTAAGAAGCTTCTGAAGACTCATTCACCTGTGTTATTATGATCCAATTCATATTTTTTTCTACATTATTTTTAAATTATCAGGACATATCGTTTCAAGGGATTAAGTCTAAATGTTCCAGGTCTAAGAGATAAAGTTCAATGTCTGAAATATGTCCCTGATCCACAGCCTCCGAACTCCGTCCAGAAATCACACAACCTTTGGCAATGAACTTGTCTTAGTCATGTTGTGTTGCCAAAAAGAACCTCTATCTGAGGCTACAGAATTTATAAAGAGAAAAGGTTTGTTTGGATGGCTGGAAAGTTCAAGATTGGGCATTTGCATCTGGTGAGGGGCTCAGGCTGCTTCCACTCATGGCAAAAGGGGAGACAGTGTATGCAGAGATCACGTGCTGAGAGAGGAACCAAGAGAGAAAGGGGGAGGTGCCAGGCTCTTTTTAATAACCAGCTCTCTCTGGGACCAATAGAGTAAGAACTCATTTAGCTCCAGGGAGGACATTAATCTATTCAAAAGGGATCCACATGTATGACCCAAACATCTCCCATTAGGCACCACCCCCTTCTGTGCAAATATACACTGGTTCCTTGCCCCCCCCCCCAAAAAAAAAGGATCTTTAGCTATTAGCTATGCATTAAGAAATCCATTCTGGAACTTTTCTTGGGGCTAAATTTACCCTCATCAGTCTATTTTTCTGCTACTGTACACTCCTCATTCATTCAAATTCCTTTTTGAGGCCTACTATGTGCCAAGCCCTGTGCTAAGAACTCTCACATATACTTCCTCATTTAATCTCCTTAGCTTCCTTTGAGATGAAGATGAATATTTTCCCTGTTTTACAGGTAAGAAAATGGAGGCACCAAGAAGCTAAGTAATTGGTATGTGGCTGTTTATTTTAAAAAGTAGAGTTAGGATTTGAAATTATATGCCATGATACCAAGGACTCTTTCCTGTATCTTTCCCTTTGCTCACCCTTCTCCCTCCACATAGAGTGCTTTTTACCTCCTTACCTAACTAGGAAGAACACTGCTCCTGATGCTTTGTAGTCTCTCCTGATCTTCTGTCGTGGGACTAACTATTCCTTAGTTTATCCTCATCAACCTTCACATACACATCTGTCAAGTTTCTTACCATGCTCCTTTGCAGTTTTGGAGTTTTGGTCTTATTGCTCCTAGTAAACTTTGAAATTAATGCCTGAATACTACATCCTATTCATGTCTATGACTTCCAGCATGAACACAGTGCCGGCAGAGAGAAGGCACATGGCAGATGTCTGCTGAAGTATTTTGTGGAGCCATGAGGCTAGTGCATCAGACCGAGAAGATGGTGTTGATGGCATTGATAAGGGTGACTGGAGGGTTGGATGGTTATTTGTCCCTCTCCTAGGGTTTCAAGGGGATATGATTATCACACTTACTCATCACTCATCACTCATTGCTCATCACTCATCAGATTTCATAGCTGGGTTTTTGAGATTATATGTGGCAATTATAAATGCTCATACTTAGAGGTCACCTACTATGTACCATATTTTACACATGTCCTACTGTGATACGTATTATTACCCCATAATTTTCTGGAGAAACAGGCTAGAATTTTTCTTGGGGTAAGATGGTAAAGTAATTCGAAAGTTGCAGAAATGAGATCTAACGCAGGTCGTTATGAATTCGCCATTGCCCTCTTCCTCCTACACTGTATTGCCTGCAGGGAGCATGGGGCAGCAGAAGTGCATTGAGAGGCCTAAGGCTATCTCTGTGGTTTCCTTCTAAAGAAAGGAAACACAGTGGTCTCATGCATTACAATTTGCAATTTAGGAACAGGGACATTGCCATACAGATGCAGCGCTGCAACATTCCACAACTGCAGGGGCGATGTCCAAGGTGGTCCCTGGACTTGTGCAGCGCATCCTCTGCAAGGCCACTTGCAGCTGGCTATGAAGAAAAAGCGGGAGATTCTTGGTCCATGGGAGTTCTCTCAGTTTCTCCTCTGTGCTACTTCCACTTTGGAAGCTCAGGACATCCCCAGAAGCATCCCTTGTATGTTTCCACTAGTTCACTCTAACCAGGCCTGTATAAGTTCCTGCAGACCCCCCACAGGGACAGCCTAGCTGAGAAGAAAAAAGGACGTATTCACTCTGGGGATTTGGCTTGCTCCTGGTGCAAGCCTCAGGACATAATCTCTTCCCTTCTCTCTCTTGGGTAGATTCATGATCTTCTCTGGGACTCAGGTGCCTTACCTCCAAAATGAAAATAAAGGTCATTTAATATCCTCCAGGATCTCTTGGTCTGGTTCTAACATGAGCAATGGCAGGATTTGAATGTCCTTTAGAAAGGAACATACACATTCTCTGGGGAGTTTGTTAAATAATGCTGATTCTGATGCAATCAGAAGTGTGGGGTGGGGCCTGAGATTCTGCATGTCCAGCGAACTTATAAGTGACACTTGTGGAGTAGTGAGGTTTTAGGGGCTTCTAACAGTGGGTGCAATTTCCTTTCTGTCCCCCATCTAGGCTTCTCCAGGAGGCTCTGCACCCATCCTCTATTAATATACATCTCTCTATAGAATCTCCTTTGGTGGCAAACAGTGCTATGAGTAACAAAAACTCACAAACTGTACTTTTTACACAATTTAAAAGCCAAAATCACTAACTGCTTCTTACTTTTTTCTAACACTTCGTGATTTTAAAATTAACAATAAAAAAATCCACAATAATTTATGAAAACCTATCTGAAAATAAGCTTCTAATTAGCCCATAAGATTATAGAATTTTTTTTAAAAAATGAAAAATGTTCAATTTAATTTTATTAATGTTTTACTTCAGAGTAAATAAGATACTATTGACTAAGCCTTAGAGACTAGGATGATCATCTAGACTTTGAACTTCTGCAAAAACTTACCATGAAACTTCTGATACGTTCTTAAAACACTTTTTCCCCCTTTATGGCACCTAAAGGTTTATTAAATACTTTTTAAAGGGAAGCAGGGAACTAACATTTACTAATAACTATGTCCCAGGCATGGTGTTAGTTGTTTCCTATGAGTGTGTATTACTGGTTCCAGTTTACTGAAGTAGCTAAGGTTTAGAGACGTAAAATCATTTGTGGGGTCCCATACTCAAAGAGCGGACCCAGAACCCAGGATATCGAATGCCACCCTTAGGGTTCCTTGTTTCCTCGATCAGCCCCCACTGGAGCGGGAGGGCCACCACAGAAAGCATTAGCTCACACCTGCTCTTGTCCACACTCAGGTTTTCTGTCGCTGTCAGCATGGTCTCAAACTGAGAATCTTCAAGCCAGGAAGGTTTGCACTAGGACCAGAAAGTCGAGGCGGAGAAGGGGTGCAGGCTTCCCTTCCCTAATTCACACAATATCGGGGGACTCTCCCAACTTGGTTATTTGGAGTCGGATTTTTTGTTTGCTTGATTTAGCCAGGTTGAGAGGTGAATCTGCACCCAAAGCACACAGATCTCCATGAAAAATGAGTTTGTGTGCGCTGACAACCTGGCCACTCATACCACTGACAACCGTGTCCCTTCCCATCTCGCAGACCGTGAGCAAGGGCAGGTTTTCGAGCCGCACATCAGAGTTGGCCAGACATTTATGAACCCCCCCCCTTGCAGGATGTGCATCCAGCACCAGCCTGTGGATTTTGTGCGAGCCTGGACCCTAGTTTCTGGGGTGAGGGTGGCGGGTGGGAGCTGGCAGGGGCAGCGGGACGGGCAGGGGCTGCCGCACAACCAAACTTACTTGTAAGAAGACCGGTGGTCCCTGAAGAGTGCCAGTCCTATCCCCAGGACGGTGAGCACGAGCAGCTTCGCCATGGCATGGGACAGTCGGGCAGAGGACAGACAGGGCGCAGGCACGAGGGCTAGGAGAGGCCGCCTGCCCTGCCGGGGAGCCCCGCTCGCTCGGGCCGCCCTGGGATTGGCCGGTCCCGCCCCGCCCGCGGCTCGGCTCCCAGCGCCGCAGGTGACAGGTGCCGGCACCGCGCGGGCTCCCCGTCCGTGCTCCCTGCAGGGAACTGCGCCGCTTCAAGCCAGGAGCCTCCGACCTTAAAAAGAGAGAACGTGGAGAACAGGTGCCTAGTTCGGTCAGGGAGGGGTGATCAAGGAAGTTGAAGGAAATAGAGAGCCGTGGGAAAGGACCTCCTAGCTTTGGGGGAGTGTTCAATTTGTGCCAACAAGGTCCTAATCCTGTGTCTCAGACGGATCAGTAACTTGATCATAGGGACCCAGCCAGAAAAGACGAGGAAAGGAGGGCTGTGGTGGGAACCCCAAGATCTAACTGTTGTCATTATGCTACCACCATGTCGCCTCCCAACACTGGGATTTCAAGCATCTCTTCTGACCTGACAGCTCACTCAAGTACATCACTCTGCAGTGCAGTCATTTCCTCCTACAAAAAAATAAATAAATAAAAAAAAGCAGGGGAGGGAGATGAGGAGTGCTCCTGTTCAAGAACCAGCAGTCAGGGAAGGCCTCAGTGGTAAAGGCACTTCTGAGCAAAGACCCAAGGGAGGTGCCTCTGTAGAACCATGTCTCTCATCTCCACTGTTACTACGAATGAAGTCTTTCCTGATTTGCTAAAGGCCAGCCCCTTCCTTTGCTCCGGGTCCCTTTCTTTCTCCCTTTTGGTCCAAATTACACTTTCTTCTGCAATACCCCTCTCTTCCTCTTTTCTGGAATATTGCCAACAGATACCAACATGCTTTAATTATCACCTATAGTTTTCTGGGGGAAAACTCTCTTGGACCCCCACATTCTAACTACTGCCCTCTTTCTTTGCTTCTCCTGCACACTTGCTTTTACACCTTGAGCTTCTATGTGAGAAATCTGAGCACTCCACTGAAGTGTCCATGTGAAAGTCTGTCAAAACAAGGAGAGGGGAAGTGGCCAGCTAAGGCCAGCCTTCTAGCCATCTGCGCCAAGGAAACAGGCATGAAATGAAGCCTTCTTGGACCCTTTAGACCAGCCTGGCCACCAGCTGAATACCTCCGAGGCACCATTATTAACACCAGGTGGAGCAGAAGAATCCACCTGGGAGAGGGACCATAGAATCCAAGGGAAGTATCTGTAAAGAGGGGAATGCTGATCTGTGTCCAGTGTGGTTATGAGTTAAGTTTGATGAAGGCAGAGAAGCAACCACTGATAACATAGATACAATGGGTGGTTTAATAAGAACAAATTCTACAGTTGAGTCAAAGGAACACAAGTCATATTATAATAGAATGGGTTAAGGAGAAAATGGTAGATTGGAGCTATTCCCCAAAGTTAGTTGCTAAGCCAAACAATCATCTGGTGCTCATAAATTATGGGTAAGGAATCTGAGCAGGGCTCAGCAGGTTGCCTGGTTGACATTCTCACTGGAATGTTTAAGAGTCTTTTCAAAATGTGCCCAAAACAGAACTCTTGATCCCCCTACCTCCATTTGCTATGCCTCCAAGTTCTCCACACTTTAATAAATGGCACCACTCCCATCCAGTTGCTCAGGCCCAGAATCTAGACATCTTGTTTCATCCATCTCTTTCCCTCACACGCCCTTCCACCAAATACATGGGTCACTTCCATAAACTCTACTCTGTGTTACTTACCTAGCGCTGTGTAACAAATTATGCCAAAAGCTAGCTGTTAAAAACAACAAACACTTATTATCTCATAGTTTCTGTGGGTTAGGAATCCAGGCATGGCATGGCTAGATACCTCTGGCTCACTTATTATCTCATAGTTTCTGTGGGTTAGGAATCCAGGCATGGCATGGCTAGATACCTCTGGCTGGAGGTATCTCATGAGTTGGCCGCTGAGCTGTGAGGCAGAGGTGCCATCTCACCTCAAGACTCAACTGGGATGGGTAGACGAGGTGAGAGTGGCTTCCAAGATCACTCACACGGTTCTAGGGAGGCACCTGTGCCTTGCCACACGGGCCTCCCACAGGGCCACAGTGGAATAAGATAACTGACTTCCCTCAGGGCGAGCCGTCTGACAAGTGAAACAGCACGTCCCCAAAACAGAAGCCACAATTTTTTATTAACCTAACTTCAGAGGTGACATCCCCTAACTTCTGCCATATTCTATTTGTGAGAAAAAAACTATTAGTATTGTACTAACTCCAGTTTACATTCAAGGGGAGAGGAATTGAGCTCACTCTTGAGGGGAGGTGTATCCAAGTACGTGTAGACATATGTAAAACCACCATACTTTCCAAATAAATCTTGACTCAACCCACTTCTCTCCATTTCCATTGCCATCACTCTGGTCCAGGCTACTATTGTCCCCAGACTAGAACAACCTCTCCATTGTTCTCTCTTTAACCACCACCCCCCTTCCAATTCCTTCTCTTCACTGCAGCCCCAGTAATCTTTTAAATATGTAAATCAGATTATATAATTTCCCTGTTTAAAATAATCTCTCTCACAGCTTCTCATTTTACTTTCTTACCATGGCCCTGCAAGATCTGGCCTGTGCTCACCCTCTGACCTAATTTCTTACCACTCACTCAGCATAAGGTGCTGCAACCTTAGCTTTCTTACCATTCTGTACACACGCTAAGCTTGCTGCACTTCACCATCTTTGCTATTCTTTGGCTACAATACTCTCCTCATCCCCTCACTTGCTCCCTGACTGCTCCTTGCATTTCTCTTTCTTGTCATTCAGGTCTTAGTGTAAACGTTACTTCTCCCAAGAGAGGTAGCTTGCTCCTTCAGGTACCAGTTTGGAATTCACTTCTGCTTGGTTTTTGTTTTTTGTTTTTTTTGTCCAACGGATTAAGGGAGTACAAATGTTTTTTGTTACATGGGTGAATTGTATAATGCTGAAGTCAGGGCTTTTAGAGTACCCATCACCAGAACAGTGTATGGGGGTGTTTTAAACTTATAATTCCTTTTTATCACCAGAAATGTATAACCAAACACTAAAAAAACACTGAAAAAACTCATGAACAACTCAGGTATCACCTTAGCTTTTGTAATCCCTTTTCTTTCTTAGTCCTCATATGCTAAATATTTATTTGCACATGTCCAAATATTACCTCCTAAATATATTTGGTAAAAAGTACATCTACCTAGTCTTTCATTTACCTGCAAAAGCCTAATTCACTGAGTAATCAGTAAAAACTGTCAATGAATTGTTAGAAAGTCAGAGCCAAATTTGCAAAGTTTAATTTTGTGTAGCACAGAAAGGTTGGTTGATTTAGTGGCTATCCTTGGTATTGTTCCTCTACAGAGGATGCTGAGACCTCTTGGCAGTAGTTGCAATGTTCTCAAGTTTCTGAAAGTGTGAAATTCCAATGTCTTAAGAATGCCAATAACACCATTCTGCATAAGGCAGCTATCATAAAGCTGGGGGAAAAAACTAGACTTTAAGTACCGAATTCCTGGTCATTTCCTGAAAATTCTATATTAGCAGAAATAACATCTGTAAGATGGAGATAATTCCTATGGGTTTGCTGTAGGAAATTAAAAACAAATCTGTGATATCACTATGCAGATATAAAGCAACTGCAATGCAAACTGTAAAGTTCTAGCCAAGTCTAGAAGTTAGTGTACAAAATGCTTTCACCTTATGTCACCTCACAACATCCTAGTAAAGGAGATAGATCCAAATTCTCCTCATTTATGCAGTCACCCAATAAGGAAGTATAGGAGCCCTTAGTTTGTATGTCTCTATGTGGTGATACTAAATTTATGTGCATCTAAAAACAGAACCTCAAAGAATAGAAAGCAAAAGGTAACAGAATCGTACCACTTCCCTTCAGTCATCTAAGCACACACCTTAAAGACCTACAAAAAAAACCAAAAAAACCCAAAGACAGTAGAAGGATGAAAATAATAAAGAGAAAGCCAGCAATCAATACAACAGAAAATAAACTTGAAGGGAAAATATCCATTGAATGAAATGTTATTCAGCAATAAAAAAGAATGAAGTCCTAATAATATATGCTACAACACGGATGCACCTTGAAATCATTACACTGCATGAAACAAGCCAGACACAGAAGGCCACATGTTGTAGGATTCCATTTATATGAAAGAGCCAAAAAAGGCAAACCCACAGAGGCAGAAAACAGATTAGTAGTTGCCAGGGGTGGCATGGGAAAGGAGCATGGGGAATAACTACTTAATGCGTATGAGTTTCCTTTTGGGGTGATGAAAATATTCTGGCACAAGGAAGTGGTGATGGCTGCACCACATTGTGAATGTACCAAATGCCACTGACCTGTAAAATGGTTTAGTGGTGAATGTTATGTTATGTGAATTTTACTACAATATAAAACTTAGAGAGAACGGAATATTCAAAAGTTACTTATTAAAAAGACTAATAAAGTATATAACCCCCGAGTAAGACAGAGAGAGAGAAAACAAATTCTAAATATGAAGAATGAAGAGAATATTACCACAGAGCCTAAGGATATTTAAAAATAATAAAAGGATATTATGAACTACTTTAAAACACTAAATTTGCAAATTTAGATGAAAAACATGAATTCCTAAATTTACCAATGCATACACAAGAAGAGACGGAAACTTTCAATATTTCTATATTGATTAAAGATATTGAATCCATAATTTAAAATCTCCCTGAAAGAAGCCATCAGTCTCAGGTAGCTGCATAAGTGAATTCTTTCAAACGTTTAAGGAAAAAAAATGCTAAGTTTTACAATAACTTCCAGAGAATAGAAAAGAAATACCTCTCAACTCTTTCACCAAGTCAATATAACCTTCCTACCAAAACCTGACAAGTTAAGTACAAAACAGAAAAATTGAAATTACAGACAATCTTTACCATAAACATGGACATTAATATCTTAAAATATTATTAAATTGAATCCACAATATATAAAAAGATAATGACATCATAATCGTCATAATCAAGTGGGGTCTATGCCCAGTTTGTGAGTTTGACTTAAAGTTTTAAATCAATC